CATGCAGATAATAGATAAAACTGTAACTCAACTCTTGGAGTTGGATACTACTGCATTAATAGGCCACATGAGGGCAGCAAATAGGTGCTTCAACAGCCTTTTTGCAGCTCTATTGACTGATTATTAATTGTAATGAACAACATACAGGTTACAGTATGTTGCTCAACTGTTTTTTTGGTGGCCATGGAAATTTTATCCATTAAAACTAGTAACAATTTTTTTGTTAATCTACAGTTTGTGGTTGATATATTTATGATTATCAACTAGATGTTTCCTGAGAGGTGACGGATTAAACATTTTGTCTCTTCTTATCCTGTCTGCAAGTTCAGATAAAGGATTATTTTATTTAAAGAAAACAGATGCCCTCCAGACATATATTAAGACTTATATACAAATAACATGCTTGGAACAGTAGTGTGTGTCTGATATGTTCACTCCATAGAAAGATTTAAGAAAATTTTAATCCATAAAAAGATATCTACTCCTTCTACCTCATTTAAATGATAGAATCTCCGAATATGCAAATGTTGTTTGTTTCTAAAGTTTTCCTGCTGGGCACAAGATGTCTCCTACTTTACTGTAAAGTCCTTTCTCTGTGGATGTGTACTGGTGGATTCAAGTTTCTACATCACACTGTACAAGTTGCATACTGGACCAGGACTGACTTCCAAACTATTTTTTACTATTTGTGATGTCACAAATCCACTTTCAGCAGATGAATGTGAAAACAAACTGCACATACATCATTCAAACATCACACTGTAGGAACCAGAAGAAGAAGAGCTAAGAGCTAAGATTTAAAATCGAAATATCTGATAAAAGATTAGTACAATTGATAATGAAAATTTAAAATAGGTATATATGTGTGTGTTTAACAAAAGTATTGCCACGACCAAAAACAACACGATATTTAAGGTACTTTACTATAATAAATCTAAAGCTTGAATCATGATCAGCTGAGAAACACAAAATGCTTATTTTCCATTAATAATAGACCATTTTCACAGCAGCCATTTTGACATAATAGAGTAGGGTAAACACAGATGTGGTACTTATTAAGCTTCTGTTCCATTCAGGTCAAACAGAGTCAGGGTGCTGCTGTTGTGAATGTTGGCTCACTGAAAAGACTGCTACACTAAATGAAGTTGAACCTTAATTAGTTTAATTAATTGGTTTACCCTATTTTATGTAAAAATGGCTGCTGGAAAAAGTCTATTCAAACTCATATACTGGACTATATAAAATCACACATAGTTCAATAAACTATTGAATGGAACTCATAAGATGTTATACTGGAAAACTTCTTTGGAAATGAACCAATATGACGATGCAGAATTAATTATATTCCCTATGAGAAGTCAGCAGAGACCAAACACAACATCTCTGACAGATGGAGACAAACGGAGAGAGAAATCATCCTCCATGGCTGACACTGATTGAGAATGAGACTCTACAGGAGGGTTTTTGATGAGTGTTAATATTGAAGGTACAGTGTCCTTTAGCAGATCATTTGGGTGTGATAAACCGGGCTCACCCTGTTGGTGTTTGCACGCACTGAATAGTTGGTGTCCTCTCTACTTGTTCATCCGCAGCAGGAAGTTCTCCAGTTGCTCTGTGTTTGCTGTAGGTATTTGAGTCAGTGCCTCCTGTAATCCAATCAGCCTGTTGCTGTAATCAAATACTGTACGTCTGCAGGAGTCGAGGCTGTAGCAGCTAGTACTGCTGAGTGATGTGCTCAGCTGGAGGATGAATGTCTCCATAAGCAAAATAACTTAAAGAGATAGATGATCAGACAGTAAACACTAGTATATACTGGTGGTCAGTGATACTGGCTGTAACTGTCTCTCAACAGCGCTCATACACTACATGTAATTCAAACCAGCGGCCACCGGTGACTGATGTTTGCTGAGTCATGCCAAGACAACGTGCCTCAGGAGACATTTGTGCTGTTCACATGTTCGTGTTGTTGAAAACAACCTGACGGAGTGTGGACAGAGGCAGAGGATGAGCGGTTGAATGAATGAATGGTTTGTAAAACACAAATGTATAATGTATACTATGGTTGTGAGGAGCCTTTTAAGTGTTAATGTATTTATGAAATACTATAACTCCTCCTGTGAAAAATTAATGATTAGCAATAAAATCAGTAAATTATTATTAAGATCCTTCATTTAAGTAAAAGTACTAATACAATATTGGGGAAAAAATGAGAGTAAGTAAACATGCAGAGCCTTGAAGCGGTTTGGAGGCTCATTTGTACCATCAGCCATCAGACTCCACAACGCCACAGCACCCAGTACCTCCAACCCACGCAGACAAAGACTGGTTTAAAACTCCTACCTACAACGCACAAGCCTTTTGCACTATTTATATTTAATTTCCACTTTAGTAGTTTAGTAGTTTTAGTTTTGTTTTAGTTTTGTAATCATGGTGTTAAATATGATTATAGTTATGTTATACTATGTTATTAACCTTTTATTAACTGTTTATTCGTTGTTTAATTGTTGACCAGCACTTAAAAATTTCCTATTTATATTAAATTCAGATTTTATATAGACATTAAATAAGGGGGTTAAAGTAAAGTGTTACCAAAGAGGATATTAATACTGAATGTGTGCAAACAGACAAATCATTTGCCAACTTTTACACATCTTGTTTTTTTTTAAGTAACAACAATTCCCAGGGTCTCCTTTGTGCACTTTCACACGGCAGTCAGACGCTAGTTTAAATTACAGTCTAATCCACCCTGGTTTCTAAAACCAGTTTCCTCAATCAGATTTTCCCAGTCAGGGCGGGTTTTTCCTTCCATCGCCCTCCATTCACAAGTTCACTCCTCGAACCTTTAAACAGTCCACACCCTCAAAAAAATAACATGACACTGCCTTATTGATCGGATTTTGCTATGAAGGGAAAGGGAAACTGTAATATAATATCTAGAACATGTTAAGACTGGTTTCCTCTAGTTGTTCTGTCTGGATGAGATTTCACGTCCCCGGTCAAAGGACGACCAGATTTAAGACATATTTCCAGCCAATCCTCAACATGGGCGTCCTTTCGCAGCAACGCTGACTGATTCTGACCAAAATCTCTTTACGTCAATCTTTCCTAGACGGGTAGTTACATTCCTGTAAGAAACCCTTCATCTTTTTCAACACAGAGACATTAACTGGAAATTCTTTTAGCTTGCCCATGACAATAATTAGAGCATACAGACTGTGTTAAGCAATAACCAAGATATATTATAAAGGTGTAGCTGTGATTCAGTGGGTAGAGCGGGTCATCTGGTAATCACAGGGTCGGTGGTTCAATCACCACCTCCTCCTGTCCTCATGTCAGTGTATCCTTGGGAAAGACACTAAACCCAGGGTTGTTCCCCAGGCACAGCCGGATAAATGGAGAAAGTTATGTCAAGAAGTGCATTTGCCAGATCAAATACAATATGTGGATCATCAGATCTTCATGCCGGGCAGGGCTCGGTCTGCCAGCGAGATGATCCGCTGTGGTGACCTCTGTGGGGAGTAGCTGAAAGAAAATAAAAATTAAAACTGTACCAGAAAGACATCATTTTAATCTACAGCTTTTCCTCTACACCCTCTCTTACATAGTGCACAATGAACCCGTTTGAGAGCTTTTGTGGTTCACTTTTGGTGTCCATTTGCTCTGATTCAAATCAAAAACAATACCTTCAAGTGGGAAACTTGAAACTTCAGATATTTTCTTCCATCAGTAACATAAAGTAGCTCTGTAGTGGAAAAGTTGCTGTGGTCTCAGTCAGGACTGACAGTTCCTAGAAAATGGCGGAACAACGTGATTCAGGTCTGAAATGTCTGTATTTACGACTTTAGGAAAGGAAGTGCAGCTGTTGCATCGTGTTACTTTTTTCCACCCTCCACCTCCTTCTGGCAGCTGAGGGAGACCAGCAAGAATAGAGCTGCTGCAATTAAGGCTGAATTTGCCTTTCAACAGCCCACTCTGCATGTTGGAAGACTGACCCTCCACGGCTTCTCATCCTCCAACACTGCAGAGTGGGTGGGAAGCATCCCAGTTTATTCTCAGTGCTCCTTCCATCACACCGCACCTCTCAGAGGATGCAGCACTCTTTAAAGCAACAAATTATACATTTCATCCGTCATTTGGCACTAAAATAACTTCCCGAAAGTTAAATGCATTAAAGGGTAGAACAGTTTATTCTGTTAAATGTCACTGTGATGGGACTTGTTGTTGCCAAGATAACATTTTTAATATATCACACACCCACTCAAGCTCTTTAGCTGACAGGTCATATTAAATGGTAATTGAATAAAACCAGATTCTTGGATAGACGTACCAACACAAAGACACAATGATGTTCTACTTTTATTTGTGCATTTTACAAGAATTCTAAGCATTTCCCATCAGTAGAAACTCTGATTATGTCTTGTAGAGAAATATATCATATATAATATAACAGTTATTGGTCTGGTCAAATATATCACTTATTGATTATGTGTCAAACTCTTTGTGCTTTAAAAACAACAGAAAATGTCAGCTGATACAGATAGATGATAGAAAGCGTCACTTTGCAGAAGCCCACACAGATTTTGGACGATTTAACCAAACCTATATTCTAATTTCCTATGTTTTGTGTGTGTGTGTGTGTGTGTGTGTGTGTGTGTGTGTGTGTGTGTGTGTGTGTTTGTGCCTGTGTGCATGTGCTCTCTTTTCCAGTGTTCAAGGTTACATGGCAGTGAAGTCAAGCGGGACTGCCAAGTCTTGTTTGTACGTATGCAAAGACGTGCCTGATTGGTTGCATAAGAGTGAAAGAAGAAACCTCTGACCCCGACCAGATACCACCCCACCGCCAAATCACAGCCATAAATTACAGTCCATTCCTCCGTGTTTATCAAACCCCCCCCGGCTGCACTTATTTGTTATAACTCGACTACAAACACATTCAGCGGGAACTTATTGTAAAAGTGTCCCTGTAGTGTCTGTCTACCGTGAAGGAGAAAGAAAACTGCTGGCTTTGTGAGATATATTTTATTGTGGTAATCAACAGGAATTTTTTTTTATTATTATTTGTCTGTCAATTTATAAATTGTTTGTCTCACACAACAAACTAAACCCCTGTGAAGAGAAAACAAGGTGCAACTCAGAGTCAAGATTGCTTCAGATGCATTTAGTGGAAGACAAGAAGAGGTCAGTAGACATTATTTCAGTCCATCAAGCAAAGAGAGTATTTCCGGTTTCTTGCTTTGCTCAAGAAACCTGTGATATTAACACTGACTTTTTAAAATAATGTATTAATACTTAGTGTCTATTAAGCCAGAAAGATCATGAAACCAAAAAAATAAATAAATGTATTTACAATAACGGCCCTGACAAATGTACAAATTAGAGTTCTTCCCTCGAACTCTACATGTCAAAGTCCTTGGCCCTGCTCTTGGCACAAATGCCAGTGGAACCACCGTTTGTTTTCTAGGGCAAACCTATTGTGATATTTTCAGCACAAGTCAGCAAGATATAAATACAAATGTGTTGAAATGTGCTGAAATGGCAGTCAGGTGTATAAGTTAACCCACATGGAGCTTTTAGTTTGAGAAATGTGGAGGGAAAACTAATTCATCTCACCTGGGATAAGTGAAACACAGTGGTGCACAGTCTGACCCAATATCTTTATCACTTGTCCTATTAATAATAAAGGAAGATAAATAATAATGCCTCAGGCCAAGAACACAGAAAAACAACATAACCTATTATTTGACATCAATGGATTGAATAGTAGAACCGAATGAATGTAAACATTTTATCAATCAATGCTTTTTTTGGACAGCGTTGATTTCACAAAGCGAATTATATTGTTATTTGTATCCGTGTGTGTAATCCACCACAACACGAGCAGCTCTGAGTGAAACTAGGACGCTCTTCCCTCAAAGCTCTGAATGTCTGTATGAAACATATGATTACAATTAAGCCAATGTTTTTCACATAATATACTTTAATGATATACCAAAGGGTCTGGTTTGATTCGTTTACACTCCAGATAGACATTAGTTTTATTATTGTGACATAATCTCAAGGTAATTTTTTTGTCATGTATTATCTGATACAATATCTATAAAGACATTACAATGAGTCTATACTCAATCTAAATATGAGTAAGAACGTGTTAGAACATCCTGATTTTACTGTCACAACTATATATATTCTTCATGAGTGATTACAGAACATGTGAATGTAAGAAACGTGTCCCTACAACATCTAAAACCTTCAAGAATCGACGTTGGCTTCCCATCAATATCCAAGCTCTTGAAGAGATATTCTGAGTACTGTATTTCATGTTGAGTGCCAGGGCTTCCCTTTGGTCAATATTTGTTTTTTTGGATTGACGTTTTAACTTAATATAGAGCACAGATGTGTCGCAGTATTACTCCACTCTGTCTCCCATGGGCCATGCATGTGACAGGGTTTCATTTCAGATGACTTTAATTAGACTCCTTTATTGCCTGTGGGGGCCCTCCAAAATTGTGTCAAGTCTTTGATAACCAATATGTGCGGAGTTACAGTTAGATTATCCTACTCAGACTGTGTTTTTATGTCCTGAGGTTACAGACAGGGCTGAACTTTGAGGTGTTTGTTATTTGTCTTTGGTTATTTCTAATTTTGTTATTTTTAAATACACACGGGTCATGATTATGGTTGTTTGACCTTCAGCAGCACATTTATAAAGAGAAAAGGTGTCATATGTTAAATACAGAGGTAGTGTACAGCTGTATTGTATTTCCATTTAGAACAAATATTGCATTTAAAGAACGTGGAGGATGGTGGGGTTTTTTTTACCTTCTCCCAAAAATACAAGAGCAAGTGTATAAGGAATAGATTAACCAGTGTGTTTGTCTGATCTAAAGAAAGCCTCAAGCGTTAACATGTCCGACAACATCTTACTAGTTTACCTGCAGTAGTAACTTGACCCAGTGTTACCTCCAAGAGCAGCAGCATTTCAAACTACATCATTTTGTGTGGGTTACAGTTACGTTACCCAGTGTACCCATCACGTTTATCCCCAAAAGGCAACATTAAACTAAAAACAACAAAGCAAAACAAAGCAAAACCAATTCCTTGAGGACACTTACTTTTTACCTGGGACCTGTTAGCTTTATGCTAACGCCCAGGCCACAGTGCCTGGATGAGCAGTGTGTGAGGCTACCTTGCGGCTCACGCACCTGAGCGTTGCTGCTGCTGCCAGCTCTATCTTTCTACATTAGTCTGCCTTTGATAAATACAATACAATAAAGGCATTGTTAACAAATAAATGCATTCTGTCCACAGAAACACAAAAGTGCCATTAATCTGATCTAATTGTGGAATATAAGGGCTTCGAGATAAACAGTTAGTGGGGCTAATTCTCCAGTCAGGTGCTGTTAAAACCAACGGCACAACGAGATGATGTAACTAAAAGGGCAACAGTTAAACTTCAAATGGTGGAAAACTACTAAAAATACTTAACATCTACTCAGGTCAAGTGTTTCCCACAATGTTAAGACAGAGATGAATAGTTTTCCCTGTTAGTATGCATATATGATGCACCATCAAGTGTGTTTTCCCTTTTTGTGATGGAAATGTTTATAACTCTACCTTGTCATGTGTCTCCCGTAGTTGCATGCAGTCCATACTATGTATGTATATCAGTTGTATGCCAACTAACCAACTCATCATTGTATTATGTAGAATATTTAGAGTCTTATTGTTAAGTTCTAGCATTAAGATAAAAATCCACTGTTGATCTACTCTGCTGTTTTTACCAAATAAGTCCTCCAGGTTTCACCTGCAAAGTGTCAATTTCACTCCACACTCAGTTGTAAGTCATATATTTAAGGACTGTGAACAGCACTTACAGATAGTCTCACCAAAACTATGAAACATTTCTCAAATTTTCATACAAAACTATGCTATTGTCATGCACTTCATTACTAGGATCATCTGCAAATTGAAACATGACAGTTTTGTTTGCATTTGATAAAGCTCAATAACCATCTCAAGGAAGCAAAAAGTTAATCCAGTGAGAAAAGTGATGAGCTTCATCTATGCTTGTATGACAGAGATTAGAAATGTCTGTTTCTCCACCTGCAGCGAAAATGTCTTTAGTGGTATCCTCATGTCAGTAGAATGACAGTCATAGGGCTCTTCATGACGCCAGAAACAAACAAAACAAGCAACAGCTAAAAGTTACATCTCTGATTCTCTACGGGAGGAAATTTGATCACGTCCAGGAGTGGCCTGCTCATTCACTAGCTCTGATGAACACTTTGTGTCTTTCTGCTCATCTCCCTCCTCCTCCTCATCCCTGCTGATGAAGGCCAGCTCGTTCTCATAGCAGAAGGAGTTGGCGCCAGATGTTGGGAATTTTCTCTCCTCCATGTCCTTTGCACTGCATCTGGGAGTGGATGGTACTTCGAATGTTTTGTGGAAGTAGGCATAATCTATCCTGTACTGGCTCTTCTCTTCAAAGATGACAGGCTCAAAGCGGTGACCCCACAGGATCTCTGATGGCAGGTAAGAGCTTCGCGCTTGCGTCGTCATAGCTGTGGCCTCCACCAACCCTTCAAGTATGATTACTATCTCAAAGTCAGATGTTTCCAGATCTTGCTTACTGATGCCAAACAGTGGACTTTCTTCATCAATCTCATGTATGACAGTGAGGGGTGCAACCAGAAACAGGCGGTCTGTACCTTTGTCATAGCCTACATCCATGTCAATCTGATCCAGGGGGATATATTCGCCTTCCTCTGTATAACGGGGCTTGACAAGCTGGGCTCGCACATGAGCTTCCACAATGTGGCTCTTCCTTAGATTGGCAACCCTGAACATGAGGCACAGCTTCCCATCACGCAGAGCAATGACTGCATTGTGGCTGAATAGTAGAGTCTCTGCACGCTTTTTGGGCCGTGCCATCTTGGCCATGATGGCACCGATCATGAAGGCATCAATGATGCAGCCCATGATGGACTGAAAGACCACCATGAAGACAGCAGCCGGGCATTCCTCTGTTACACAGCGAGCGCCATACCCAATGGTTGTCTGGGTCTCAATAGAGAACAAGAAAGCTGCCACAAAGGTGTTGACCTGTGTCACACAAGGAACAAAACTGTCGTCCTCTCCGGGATGGTCCATGTCACCGTGTAGGAGACCGATGACCCAGAATGCCAGGCCGAATGTTAGCCAGGACACCACAAACACCAGGCTGAATAGCAGGAACATGTATCGCCAGCGGATGTCCACACAAGTTGTGAACATGTCAGACATGTACCGCTGTGACTTCTCATCCATGTTTGAGAAATGGATGTTGCATTGGCCAGCTTTGCTGACAAACCGGCTGTGGTATTTGCGTCTTGTATGAATCTTGCCATTGCCGAAGCTGCCGACTGCAGGCATGGTACTTAGTCTCAGGCCTTCTTCTTCACAGGACACGAAGCTGTGGTGGTGGGCCCTTCCGACACTCATGCCTCAGTGGGGCACAGCCACGTGGCTTTAGCCCAGCCCACAAAACTACCCAGGCTCACAGGAAGTGCACAGCTCCGTCCAAAACTGATTCAGTGTCAACTGGAATTGAAAGGTGAGACACAAAAGTAGTTTCCTGTAAAGAAGGACAGGTCAAATGTTAGTAGTGAATTAATTTACCTTTGTTTAACCAGAGGACTAAGGCAACCATGCAGTAATCTAACATATTTATTTGCACAATTGCAAATTCTCTATCTCTTTACTCCAGCACTTCACCGACTATAATTACTTTTTACTTGTAAAGCACTTTGGATCCACTGTGTTGTGTGTAAAGTGCTACAGTATATAAATAAAGTTGAACTGAGCTGAGTTTACTACTACTACTACTTCAGGACAGACTTCTTCTACTCATGATGTACTTATCTCCAATATCCAGACTCTCTCAGGAGTCACTCTGTCACTGTCAACTCTAATAGTTTTAGGACCTGTTATAATAATTGCTGCTGGTAACAAAGTAATGCCAAAGCATGTTGTATTCTCACTTGATCATTTCCCCCTGTTTAATTAGAAACAAGGCTTTTGACAAATTTTTCTCTCAACATGTCACTGATGAATGTAATTTTGAAACTGTTTAGATGTTAATTAGGTTATACTGCATCATTTAGGACAAACACGATAACTGCTTTGTATGTTGAAAACTCGTTTTCAGGTTAAGATCTTTAACCTTGCTGTAAAGAATACTAGTTAATCTACTACATTTAATTCATAGTATATCCTTCCATAGCCTACATTTGCTTTTACCTACCTCTCTTTCTCCCTGCTCTCTTGGAAATACTCTAGTATATACAATACATGTTTCTCTGATCAACAGGGTACAGAAATAGCCAGCTAATCCAATGCCCTGCCATTTTATATGACGTATCTTCTGTTTCCTCCAGCTGGCACAGCTATTAGAGTCACTGGAGTACTGTGATGAGACTGTGTGATTCCCCTGTGAGGCTGAACTGGAAAATAATATGGGCTGAAAAAGACGGGGCAGAAAATTGGGTATCACAGAAAAGCCTTGGATACAAATGGTTTGATGGTTGGAATCGATGCGATCAGGCACATTAATGGAGAAAATATTTTTAAAAAAGGGGAACATTATCCTGATCAGTCCCATCTGCAGCCTTCAGCACATGCAGCTTGTGCTGTGTTGATGATAGAAAGAAAACTTGTCATCAAGTTTTTTCAAGCTTGTTTCCTAGTGTGAGCACTTGTATTACACAGTGTGTCAAGACATTATACACCGATCAGCCATAACATTATGAGCACTGACAGCTGAAGTGAATAACACTGATTATCTGGTTATCATGTCAGTGGGTGGGATATATCAGGTAGCAAGTGAACATCTTGTCCTCAAAGATGATGTGATAGAAAATGGGCAGCGTGAGGATCCGAGCGACTTTGACAAGGGTCTAATTGTGATGGCTAGACGACTGGGTCAGAGCATCTCAAAAACTACAGCTCTTGTGGGGTGTTCGCGGTCTACAGAGGTCAGTACCTATCAAAAGTGCTTCAAGGAAGGACAAGCGATGAACCAGAGAAAGGGTCATGGGTGGCCAAGGCTCATTGATGTATGTAAGGAGTGAAGGCTGGCCCGTGTGGTCCGATCCAACAGACGAGCTACTGTAGCTCAAACTGCTGAAACCGTTAATGCTGGTTCTGATAGAAAGGGGTCAGAACACACAGTGCATCACAGTTTGTTGCTATGGGGCTGCAGAACATTATTACCACCAGGGCGCCCAGCTGGTCATAATGTTATGGCTGATCGGTGTATGTTCGATATAAAATCGTTGATATATCAACTTTGTGCTAGTGGCTTTGAACTAAATGCTAACATCGACATGCTAACAAGCGTACAATGAAAATGCTAACATGTTTAGCAGGTATAATGTTCACTGCTTAGCATGTTTGCGTGCTAACAATAGCTTATTAGCACTAAACACAAAGTACAACTGGTGGGATAATTTGGTCACAAATCAAAAGCATTGGACAAATTTAAATTGAGACGTAATGATGGCGCTAGATACACATTCATATCCCCCTCATGCAATCACTGTCGCTGGAGGAAAAGTCAGAGATCATCAAAGTCATTAAATTAGGATTCATCCTCCACAAATACAAACTTCTGTGGCATCTGATAGTTGTTCAGATATTAGTCCGATATAAGTCTGGACCAAAATGGTGGACCAACAGACAGATGGGCAGCCATCCATACTTCTAGAGTGGCTGGAAATCAAATGTCTATACTGTATCTGCATTAGGACCAAAGACACTGAAAGATGCTGCAGATAAATTAGTTCTTGAGTCTTCAGCAGCGATAGAATATCTGTGTCATCTTATTGATGTTAAGCTGTTCTGTAACTTCATAGCACCATTTTATTATTCTAGGTTTAATTCAACACTGGCTGCTGTCTGTGCTGATGGAAGGAACTTCACTCATTTCAAGTCATAAAATAAGATGCTGCCACACCATCGCACTGCAGACTAGAAGGACCTAGAGGAAAGCATTTCAATAGGTCAGCACAAGGTGACACGTTGTTCACCAACTGGCTGTGACATGATGTTGACGTTTTGATGTACTGTTGTCTTTTAGATCATTATTATCATGATTGATTTTGATTAAATGATTAATATTCCAGGATATCCGAGAACTCATAGGATCACCAAATTGATTGGGTAAACTCAGAAGACCAGGTGAAGGTCCTTCAGATGATTGTTTTTTCTTCAAGATGGAGTCAAACACCAAATAATGTACCTCAGCGCTCTAAGAATGTACAGTTATAGGGTCTGGGTTTCATCCTTAATACAGCTTCAAAATGGGGTCATAAAGGCAGGTGTCCCCATAAGTGATACTCAGGACAGACTATAGCCATGGATATTAATATGCTGATTATACAACAGAACAGGTATGTAACAAAACAACAGGTAATCAAAAGGAGATTTTAAAGGATTACACAGTTTCTATACAGATTCAATTTGAGGTATGTTTCAAACCCTCAGCTCAATTGTAAGAACACAACCATTAGGACGACAATGTGTATCGGTTTGTTTTACGCAGTAGTTGCTGTTTCTCAATGCTCTGGTTGCTAGGAAGCAGGATGTTGAGTGTCCAAAGGATATTAATAACTAATACTCTGTGCGACTGCTCCTCAGCGCTCACAAGACCCACACTCTGCCTGCTGGGCTGTGATCTTAGTGCTGGAGCAGAGATTAGTCTATTTCTCTGCTGACGTTTTTCTCACAATAGAAAATATATTTGAATTGAACAATGAGAGACAGACCACAGGTGCGGAAATCTATGAAAGGGTGTTGGCTACAGTATTATATTTATAGATTATCTGTCTAAAATCACAAAAAGCTTACCTTGTCTGCAAGTGTTCCCAATAAATGTTAATTTCCAGCTTTCCTTTTCTTCCAGATCTCCCAGTCTTTTAGCCAAACTGCTGCATGTTTCTTCAACTCTTCGCTTCTGTTACGGGTAGAACCACTCTATCCTCCTGAGGCAGAAAAGTAAATGGCCACAGAGTACCATCATGTCTATGCCTCCAAGTTTTAACGCTTCTCCTTCTCCACTCAATGAGGAGAGCATTACAGTCACTCCCACTGTCAAGTCCTCCAAAGTTACTGCTCGATTGATATCCAGTTGATCAGAAACAGACAAGAAATTAGAAAATGACTTTAGTGGATCACAGAAGTCATAATTTTGTACCCCGAAATAGCACAACGACTTGATCACAGTCAAATTAAATGTCTGTAGAGCTCACATGGTCTGTAGGGTCCAATCCAATCAAAAAATCAATTCCTCACAGCTTATTTTAGATTCATGGCCAGTCGAGAGTCTTACACTTTCTTGGTATATCTGCTATCTGATCTTGTTCTGCTGCAGATCCCACTCTGTATCCCACATCCAGTGAACTATTGCTCACTGCTCAGCTCTCGTCCTCCCCCTCCCTTTCACGGTGTCACTGTAGATACTTGGCATTTGGAGACTACATGCTCTTCCCCTACCAAGTGTTGCACCAGTGCTGGTCAGCAATGCTCAGAGTTGAAAGAACCAACTGGTTTATTCAGGACTACTGCGTACGTGAGAGACCACCTGAACACATACGTTTGATTTGTCCAGGTTTGATTATGTTACATATTTCTTTTCTGTGACAGTGTGGCTTCAGAGAAGGGTCAACACCATTGCTGTGTAGAGTTATATTTATTTGGACCACATTGGGTGTATTATTGGTCCAGACTTCTAATAAGGCTAACTACCATACTCTGTAAGGCTATATTTTAACTAAAACCAAACATATCCCAGAGTGGGTGGTGTGGTCTCCATTTTGACTCATTCAGAAAAGAAGGCACTTCCTGTTGAGCATCACTCATTTGTCTTGTGTGTTTGTGTGCGTGTGTGTGTGTGTGTGTGTGTGTGTGTGTGTGTGTGTGTGTGTGTGTGTGTGTGTGCATGCCTGGTTGAAGGAGGAAATCAGTGAATTATTTGTGTGTCACAGTTGTTCCCTTGATTATGCCAGTTGCTCTGTAAGATTGTGCTTAGACACAGCGGTGCTTTGAGTTAAAAGATAATGTCAGCGTGCTAACATGGTCACTATGACAATGCTAACATGCTGATGTTAAACTGGTATAATGTTTACCATGTTTACCTGACGGGATGCTACTAGCACAAAACTCAAAGCACAGCTGACCCTATTGTCTTGGGAATGGGAATAGTTTTGCAGGTATTTGGTCAGAAAGCAAAGTCTTTTTTGACTTAATGATTGAAAAGCGAGGATCACCAAACTCATTAGGATACGTCGTCTGGGAACCATGAAGGCTTGTACCAAATTTTGTGCCAGTCCATCAAGTAGTTGTTGAAAAATTAAAGTTTAAAAATCTAAAATGTCTACCTCACTGTGCGCTTCAGGAAGAGTCAGAAGATCACGAAAGTCATTAGGATTCATTACAATGTCTGTGTTGTTGAGATATTTCAGTCTAGACCAAAGTGGTGGTCCAACCAACAGATGGACATGGCCATGACTTTAAAAACAAAGTGTAAATAGTAGCGTGAGAGATGTTTAACTCTGGACCAAAGCACAGGACAAACACGCTTATGTGCAAACTACAATTCATTTCCAATCAGTGCTCTGTGTGCAGTGTGCAAGCTACAGTACAGCCCACCACCACACTGCTCTGCCGGGGAAACTCTTTTGTGAGTTTCACAGGACAGAAACACAATCAGGCGTTCCAGTACTGGCCTGACCCAGATTCACTAGAGGCCGTCAAAGAGCAGAGAGATGGTTGGAAGGTGTACGTGACACTGCGATACAACTGCCTCCAAGGAAGCTAAGCCATGGTAGTCTGAGTATCAGTTTTCTGATTATAATAGGAAAAATATTTGACCTTTATGAGTGTTTGGATGTGTTGGATCTGTGTTCACTAAAGCAGTAAGACTATTGTATCTTCATATTCTATCAGGAGCACGAGCGTACACATTTACTTAACATGCAACATGGGATAATGCATCTAAGATATGACACTGTTCATGAAACAGTGTGTCTTTTTAAGGGCCATTTTTTCATAACAGGAGTAACTCAGGCTGTCCACACTATGTTACTGTAACTGTATTGTTACTACGATGTCAGGCCTGTAAATGGGTTATGGGTTCAGTTAGGAGATGGCAGACCAGATGGGGATATGAAGTGTGCTATAGAGACAGAGAGGGTCCAGAGCCCAGCTGATACCTCGCACCCAGCGAGTTATTTAAAGGCCGCCTCACTGCGGCAGGAGAAGGTGTGCCGGGCTCAACCACGCTCAGGACAGGAGCTGCGGCGTTTGATCACTCTTTGATCACACTTTGATCACACTTTCAGATAATCAGCGCACACTCTGCTGATTGATTTTCTAGTGTTGTGTCATGTTGTGGTTATCCCTGTGTGGTACAGAAGACACCAATCTGAGCACAGGATGTTTACTTAAAGCTCATGAGCGTAACTGGTTCTGGCAGGACACTCAGGATCAGGAGCATGGCAGGTACTCCAATTATACAACTGTGTAACCGTCTGTTTAGTTCAGTCTCACCAGCACTCCTGCTGTTCATGCTCACTTGCTGTGTGTTTCTGCACTTCCTGCTCATTGTTCTATTATCTATAGCTACATACAGTATGTACGACGTGCCCTGTAATTGCTGTTGGGAATATAAAATCAGCCACACAGTTAATCGACCCGTTTATCTGCTGTTAACTCTTGTGCCTCCTCTTAATACATGCATTTGTAAAATATTTGAGCTCATTTCACTGATTTTTTTCTTTCTTTTGGCAGGAACAGAGTATATTTCAGCTGGAAAAAGTACACATACTTGCACATAAAGGGGCAGGTCAGATGAGATGGTATCAGTCAACATTTTTTAAATTTCTGATGTCTTTTATAGTACAGAAGTTTTACATTGACCACTGCTAATTCAGAGAAAAAAAATTGAAAATGTAATTTAAAAAATCTGCCTGTATGAATTGTTTTGTGTTAAAGTTATGGAGTTTCTTATTTAGTGTCCACATCTTCTTTACTGGTAGATGATACAGCAGAGAGCATAATGAGGAAATAAAAGTACCATGAAGTCAGCTTTTTTTTTTCTAAAAAACCCCAAATATTGCATATTTAACCTCAAGCAACCACTTGCAGCTTTCTAACTTTAGAAAACAACATGCAGAACAACATGAGTAAGATGGTCTGTGCCAACTCAAATGCAATTGTGTGAAACATAACAAAATCTATTTAATAACACTAGACTGAAGCAAATTACGTGACTGCTGTGACATTTGGCAACAAATCATTTTCAGCTTAGCACTTTGTAACAATCCAGCTCCGATACGAAAGATGGTAATATCGCGGGAACAACACGGTAATACTGGGATAATACCAATATTATCAATGGATATCAATAGTGGTAATTTTAGAGTTTAATCTCTGTAACAGCATAATAATGTGTGAAACATCTCACTACCATAAATAAGCACTCATGGTTATTACACTGAATCTACGTTTTGAGGCAAGAAGTCACAGTAAAGTATTATATAGAGTATATTGACTGTAATTCTAATCGCACTTCTGTCACCCTACAAGCACTTTACCATTCATCAACAAAGTATTACCCCACCTACTGTGAACTCCAGAAACAGATTGTACACTGACATCACCCTGTCATATAACCTGATTAATGAGAGAAGACTGATATAACCCAGTTATTACTGAGATGTTTTACCCCATTATTTCCTGATTTCCCACAAATTACTGCGTGTATGTTACAACGAATGATATGCATATGTACCATGGTGAGAATGGAAAGCTTCTTATAACAACAGTAATATAGTGGGTGTGGCAAAGGTTAACAGTTTTACCTAAGTTATTACCCCCTTATTACCTTGTTATACAGCATAAGGTGCTACCACATTAGGTTGCATTGGCCCTGTGATTCAGGGTTTTTTCAGTTCTTCAACTTGCAATATATATAAAAAAATAATTTCTGTCCATCTCAGGAATAAAGTTAAACCTCTAACGAAATGGCTGCAGGCCTGTGAAACACAGCAGTAACAACAAGGAAGCGAGAGAACAAACACGAACGCTAGAGATACTGTAGAGAGAGTTTCTGTTGGCAGCCAGCACTGATAAAAACAACGTGAGTGGGGGAAGAGAGGCGTTGTGCACCCACCCAACAGAAAGAAATACTGCATATACACATACAGGACTTTTTTTAGGGAGCTGTTCACTACCCTCCCTGCTCCAGTTAGGGAAAATATGCTCCGGACCAGCCTAATCAACATCCTGCCACATAATAATAAAGTGCTCTCACCTTGTGAAATAACACAAGGAGACCACGTTAGCTCCACAGAAAAAGAACTGAAAGTTGAATTTCAGGTCTCTCTTACTGTGAGGCTGCAGTAAACCTCTCTGTTATTCTTCATGCACGTGGATAGTGAAGTTTCTTTTTCCTCACTGAATGTAGAGCTATTTTTTGACCACATCCAACCAAACATGTTCGTTTCTGATACATTTTACTCACAGTACATACAAGAATTGACTGTATTAAAGTGCTCCCCCAAATCAGCCTCATCATCCTCCACGCCGACGTTGGTGTTGCCAAACTGACGTCGCTGCCAAACTTATATTTAACCCAGGTGAACAATGTAGGATTCATCCATTGTCATGGAAACACTGACACATTTGAGTTTGACTAAACAAATTGCATGTAGGTCACACGCCTCTGGACCTGATTTTATAACACTGTGATCCAAATCAAACTGGGTTACAAAAAAAAAACATGTCCATGCAGCTCTTTGCTGTTCACACCAACACAAGCACAGACCTGTGTCACATGTGAGAGTAAAAGTAAGCAGAGTTGTGGCGCTGTCAGTTGCAGTGTAAACACAACTGAAGTATATGATTGGGGAAGCAGGCTGTGCTCACTGATCTGAGAGCAGCCATGGTGCTGGTTGCAGTAATTGATCTTTGCATGACTAAATGGGCCACTTATTTTTGCAGCCTGAGCAGGTGCACCTGTGTAATGGTGTTTCTACATCAGCCGCTGATCAGTCATAAGGGTCGGGAGCGTTTGTGGGGCAGTTCGACAAACCCTGCAGCTGCATACTCACACACACACACACACACACACACACACACACACACACACGCATGCGTACACTACTCCACAAACAAAGGAATGCAAAAACAAACTGAGACAAGTTTAAATATATATGAAAATCATTTTCTTTATTCTGTTTAACATGGTATAGTCAGAGTAAATGTCACATAGGTAAACTGTAGAGGAAACAATAAAAGAATAAAATAACATATTATATATATTATTAACATATAGTATGAGAATAAAGCCATGAGAGAGATATTTATTAACGTGTTTGTCGAGTTTTAGTTTGTTTCAGTTAAATTCAGTTAACCATGTGAGTTTATCCAGATATCAAGATTAAAAATCCGTTAAAAAAAATATGTTAGAACAGGAATTATCTTGTTGAATGGACAGAATTCATACAACACCAGGAACCCTAACTTTATCAAAGATACAATTCATATAAGAAACTCTTCATCTGAGCACAGCAACATACAGCAGACTGATACCAATAAGAAACAGAACATAAATAACCTGACAGCCTGATAATACAGGATACTTGAAACTCTAATCATGCTCCAAAGTTTCTGCATTCATTCACCCTTTAGAAGTAGACTTCTTTATATTTATTTCTCTTTTTAATATACTTTTTGCCTTTATTGACAGGACAGCTCAAGGTAGACAGAAAAGGGGGAGAGAGAGAGAGGGGATATAAAGGGCCACTGGTGAGATTCAAGCCCATGGCCACTGCAGCAGCGGTACGTGGGCCACCTGCTCTACCAAGTGAGCTACCAGGATGCTCCATTCCCTGAGGTCAAGGTGACCTCCTTAAAATACTAATTTAGTCTGAAAAACAGCCCCAAAAAACTTGACTTCTTAATTAAATTTAAAATTGTCAAAGTAGTTGATACATTTTCTGACCTTCAACTAATCAACTTTAAGTTCTAGTCCAACTATTTGCTTTTTCCGGAGCTTTCAACCACATCTTACATTAAAGATAGAAAGTGCATTTCCAAGGCCAAGAATGAACGTTCATTCACATAATTATTTCATTTTGTCAGTGACAAACTTGGTCAGTCAAGTGAATGAGAGTAAGAACTCCATCTGCCCTGTCTGGATTAATGTTCTTCATGTATTTAAGGATGAAAAATCTTACCTACCTGATGTAAAAACCACGTTGATGACATTTCAGAGAACAAAATGGTGTTTATGATGTTACAGCCAGCCAGAAAAAGCTCACAGGTGCAGAATTATTTCCATGATGGATAACTTTAAGAATCAGCTTTGCTCTTTCAAAGTGTCGGCTCACATGACTGGAGTGGATTCACACACTGAAGTCACAAGGGAGGGAAAGATGAGTGTTGGGTATTAATGAGGTGTGATGTTCCTCTTTAGGAATATGACTCCAAGGAAAACAGCAGCATCAAGATTTGGGTCTTCTGCAAGGACACTGAGAGCTAAGATTTACAATTTACACAGAAATCAAATCTCTGGAGATGCTGAGATTTATTGTTAAGGATCTGTGTTCGACAGACAAAGTTGGACAGGCTAAAATAACCTAAAGTAAGAAAATACACTAATAAGGCTCTCCATGTAACATTATAGATAATTCTAAGTTTACACATATGAAGCATTAAGGGTTAACTGAGGGAATCTGTAACATATATCTGAGCAATGTGAGGCATGTGTCTTAAAAGTCAACAGCATGTTCAGCAATGGTAGTTGATTGCTAAAGGTTGGCGATCTCTGTGCTATGAAATAAGGGACTCCTGACTTTTTTTCTTCTGTATGACAGCTGGTCTGATGTTGGAGACCCTGCTGAAGTAAGTTATCTATTGCATGCTCGGTGCAGACTTGATGCTCCACTAATGAGGTACAGTATGTGAGTCCCACGTGAGAGCGGAGAGCAGTCTGTGTTTTCCTGCTCCAGCCTCCTCATTAGCTGCCAGGTTCCTGAGAGCTCAGGTTGATACTGTGTCGCACTATCACTGCATGGTAAACTATTCAGTGGGAGAGGTCTTGGTTCAGTTTTTGGTTGACCAGCCACCCAGGCATTCTCTCTGTTGGGTTATCATGTTCCCACCAACTCAGTTATATCAACACTTGGGACACTTCATTTTACTGTAAGACAGTTTTGCAATTGGGCGTCATGAGTTTGGCATGTTCTCCAAAAACGTCATCAGGCTGCTGCTAGCAACACCTGACATGAGCTTTACAACAGCCCATAATATGTGTGACTCAAGTCTACATGTAAACTACACAGCCTATTCATCACTTCAGGCTGTGAAAACAAATCAACCTCTGATAAAATATCTGATATTATAATATAAATGTATATATGTATATATATATGTATAATATATTTACAGCACGCTACTGATCATCAATGTGCCATTAATAGACTTTATGATGTGTTCTGCTGAATGTTTTCACATAACTAAATGATACCAGAATACAAAAACACATTAGGACTAAAATTTCTATTTATTAATAGAAAATAGTAACCTTTAGAAAATAACTGTCATTATTTTATTTTGCAGCTCAAATGTTTTTGGTCATGAAACACTGTTGCTGTCTGCTTGTGTTTGCAGCAGCTGCAGAGCAGGTTTTAAGGTTTAAAAACAGATATAGTTACACCGACGTCATCCATCCCTCTGCTGGGAGAGTAATGTTGTATTATGCTACATCTAGTGGTACAATATGTTAATAACACTTTTTACATAACTGATGCAACACACTGAGTTCTCTTTCAGTAAAAACACAGACAGTGTGTCTATAAGTTGCACTGTGCAATGTGCTGAGCATCAAAATATAAAGATCATTCCTTTGAGATTACTCTGTAATATTTAATAGTAAACTTTTAGAAATGTTTATCTAGAAAAAACAGTGTTTGTTGCTCCCTCTAGTGGTTGTATGATGCATCTATCTCTCTTTCTTACACACGTTTCAAAAGCACATCAGCAACAAAGAACAACAAATAGACCTTTTACACAGTAAAAAGAGTTCCACATAATATAACACACATTGTGTAACGCCAAGTTACACATAATAGATGGAAATACATCTTCTGTCTTTAAACTGCGCCGACCATACAGCAGTTTTACTCTGTAAAGTAGATGTTTGGATCAGACAGACTCAAACAGCTTCATTCTTTCTTGGACAGAGAGGCCTTCTTTTAAACTCTGCAAGCCAAACAGAATAAAAGAGAAGAGATAAAAGTTAGTATGCCTGAAATACTTCACACAAAAAGGTTCCTTTTGATGCAGCAGCAAACTTTACCTTTGATCTCACTCCTCTGATCTGACGTGTGAGGGATGATGTTTTTTTCAGAATAGAAGCTTTACTTGTGTTTGTCACTGTGTCTTCTGCGAAAAGCAACAGGGTAGGAACATTTTGGGAAATATAGTTACACCCAGTTTGTATGCTAAGCTAACCTAACTGACTGCTGTCTGTGGCTTCATATTTACTGCACAGATATAAGAGTGGTATCAATCTTCTAATCCAACTCTTGGTGAAAATGTCAAACTATTGGTGGCTCCAAACATGCATTTATTCAACCGTGTGCACGATTCACTAAACAATTGAGGAAATGTTAAACGTTTGAGAGTGTTTGAGTATAAATCTCATAATATAGTAATTGTAGTAGTAAGTATAAAGTGTCTCACCGAGGTTCTGTCTTGAAGCGTCTCTGCCTGGAGACCAAGTAGCGAAATTGAAATCTTCACAGAGTTTGTTGACATCCTGACGGGGTTCATCCTGGCTGTTCGTATAGAGGGCCTTGAGCTTGTTCTGGACATATATCTTGTCCTGTTACACACACACACACACAGAGTGTGAAATCTCTTTTTGTCATAGATGCTCTTTTCATATAAATAATATATTTTCAGACAAGTAACAGACAGTAAAGTATACAATTACATCCTTTACATACAGTATGTGATACATTTTGTATAATTTGTATAATTTTTTGCAGCAGCCTTCACTTAACTTTAACTTTTAACTTCATCACGTTGTTTTCATTTCTTTTACCTTAAATCTTTAGGTTAATTTTAAATGGAAGTGGAGATATTTGTTGTTAATGTTACGTACTTTCTTTTATATTCACCCACTAAATTCAGTAAATACCAACTGTGTTTGAAGTATGAAGGCAGAAGATTCCTTAAAGACTACTTGTGTTATCTTATCTTGTAATCTAGCTAAATAAATCCCCGGAAGATTTCAGTACCATTCGAGCAATCTTCAACTCATCCCTGAGAGAACGAGCTTCCTGTCTGAGAAAATGCATTTCGGCCTCCCTCGCCCGTAGAACCACCTGTAACATAAAGTATCATAAAATACTTATTACGGTTTTACAGTAATTTACAATTATAAGTGCAAACTTATAAACATGTTTCTATAAAACCTAAAATTGGATTAATCAAAGTTATGTAATGTGCAGACTTTTAGGGGAGTTCATGATGTGGGACAAAGATAAAGGTTAAACCTTTCCCAACACTTACCTCCATCTCATAGAAGTCATTAACTTGAGGGGCAACATTTGACTGCTTCCCGTTTAGTGAGAAATGTAGCTGAGACATTTCATCTGTGGCTCTCTTAAAGGATGACACAGAGATACACTAATAAACTTTATATATGACTTTGGAAACACACACACACACACACACACACACACACACACACACACACACACACACACTGTTTACAGCTCCGAGATGTGGATATTCTGGGTGAATACAAATGAAAAATAATCTGCTATGCTGACACCTTTGTGAAAAGAAAATGTTTATACCTGCTTCTTTTTGAGCTCCTGGTTTTCTTTTTGGTACTGCATCAAGGCTTGTCTCTCATCTTGCAGCTTCTGGTTCAACTGAGAGTTTTCCAGGCATTTCTGTGTGTGTTGAACCGACAACACCTCGAGCTCCTTGTGCATTAATTGGATCTCCGTCCTGCAGTGGCAAAACAGAAGCACAGATGATGACAAAACCTTCCTAGGAGGGAGCAATATGTATTTGGCTAAAATACTATTACTAGCAGGAAGAAAAAAGCTATTATGAGTAATTGGGGAGGAAATAGCTGCCAGACACAGACAGGCCCAATGGCTAGTAACTGCTGATTCATTTATCTTTAGGGGAAAACTGACAAAAGAAGCACAGCTGGAAGAAAATATGACATAATTTGTTTATTATTTGTTTGATTATTTCCCAAATTACAGATGAGTTCACTCGAATGCAGGGTTCGCTCCTATGATTAAATACTCAGCTCTCTGTGTCAGATTTTTTAAAATAATGTAGCCCCTTTAAATATTTAAATATTTCTTCAGCCAAGCACCCGCTGAGGAGCACAAAACATTCTTGGTAGATAAACAAGTTCCTGTATGAAGAGGCCCAATTTAGTGAGAAACATGAGCTGGTGCTTCACTGAGGACCTTTATACTTTATTCTTTGTGGCAGGGAGGCAACTGCAGTGATCAAACTCTTCTTCAGAGGTTTTATAGCAGCTGACAATTAACAATTGCATTAAATAATGAATGTGTATAATGGGAAGAGAACTGGGGAGCTCACCCACCCTTGAGGGGCACCAGTGCTAATATATTTAGTGGAAGCTGTATATACAGTAGCTGTCGGTCCGTTGCTTCAATGTAAGAGAAAAAACAAGTGCTGTGGAAAGATCTTTAGTCACTCACTCATGTTCATTGTGCAGCTGTGTGATGTCAGCACTCTCCTTGATGTGCTGAGACTGGCGGCTTTTCTCCAGCTCCTGTTTATGGGCTCTCCTCATTGCTACAATGGCTGTGGAAAGATATGACAACTTGTATAACTGTTTACCAATGTTGAATGTTGTTGTTCATAATCTAATATCATAATCAAGCTTTTTCTAAGTTAGTTATTAAGTCTTCTTTTTGCTGATCTCCAGAATTTGGTGATCTGAAAGAAACCTATATGTCACATTCATACAAAAAAATCCCCATCACAAATACAATAAAATAAAATGAGTTATTATTGACTAAATATGCCTACAGTGCTTTTATTTTTGTATGACTTCTTCTTTACCTGCCATAGTGGCAGCCGTCTCTTCCTGCAGCAGCTGATCTTTCTCCTTCAGAAGTGCTGCCACCTCTGTCCGATGCTGCTGCTGTAGATCACCGATCAGCTGCCTGTGCATTTCCTCCATGGCAGAGAAACCTTCATCACAGGATGCCTATATTGAAATTCAAAAAAAGTCTGTATTGATATATTCTGTATATATAAGTAAAGAGAGATTCTGTATTGTTAAATAGTAGTTGTGTGTGTGCCCGTTTAGTACTGTACTATGGTCTTCACTGCTTTCCCTTTAGGAACAGTACCTTGCCCACTGTAATAAATCTAACAGCTAAAATTAAAGGAATCAATTAGGGTTTAAGATTTCAAATTAAATTGAAAGTAATGGAAGTAAACTTTTTTTACCGAGGTTGATCTGTCAAAAAAAGCTCCAAACACGAGTCCAGTAAAAGACTAATTCTAATGGGGTTTTTTTTACTGGTAGTGGAAAAAATAAAGCTGTGAATTGTTAAAAACGAATTACTTGTTAAGGAGGACAAGTATCTGACAAAAAAAATAAGTTAACCTTACCTCAAGTCTTTCTCTCCCGGCATCACCTCCCTCCATTCGGTTCCCGAGCTCATTCTGGTCAGGTAGGGAGGAGGTATTTTCAGTGAAAGTAGGTGCCTCTGTGCAGGTCTGTTTCTCTTTTGAAACACAAGACTTGATGTAGTAACCATGCAAGTGTTTCATCTCTTCTTCGTGGATATGCTGCAGTTCCTTTATCTTCTGTTGAAACTTTGCTTCCAGTTTTTTCATCCGTTCCTCATGATAATCCTCAATTTTCCGTATGTCTTCCATGAGTGTCTGGTTCCCAGTCTCTACAGATGTTATCTTTTGCTCAGCACGCTCTAGTTCTTCTCTTAATATATTATTGTCCTCCCGTAGTTGACACAAGGTGTGATTAAAAGCCTCCTGCTCATCCTTCAATGTGATATCCTGCTCTTTACACAAAGCCTGCAGTTTTTCCCGTAACACCTCACTTTGTTTCAACTCCTGCTCTACATCCAAGTGCAGCCTGTCTGACAAATAAATTAACTTTGCCTGCTCCTGCATCCAGTTTAAGTCAGCTGCAGAAGCATTTTCCCAGTTGCTGTCCACACTACTCTCTACTCCATCGGCATCAGAAATCTCCTGGCAGAGTTTGCGTAAGCATTTTGCCCTTCTTTGAAGCCGGGATATAAGTCTCTCTAACCACTCTGGTTCTTTCTCTGCTTCTACCTTTTTGGCATCAGATTCATCCTTTTCAGCTGGTTTTGCAGCTCCTTCTGAACTTCTGCCGTCTACCGGCACTCCCTCCTCGTAAGGAGCCAACTCGGGGGGATTGATATCTGCCAGATCTTTCCTTTGAGCCTCCACTTCTTCATTATTTACTTGAGTCACGCTTTCATATTGCTGCTGAAATTTCAAGGCAGCATAAATGAGCTCTGCTTCAGCACAGACTCTACTGATGGCCCTTTCATTGTTGTCACATTCTGCTCTTCCAGACTGAGTCCTTTTTAAGGCTATTCTTTGGGAGATTATGCTTTTGTACCTATGTGCCTCATCCCCCTCATCCCCTCTTGGTACTAGTTGTCTAATACCATGCTGACTCTGAAGGACTGACACCATTTTTTCAACTACAAATAGTTCCCTCATTAAACACCTCCCAACACTTCCCATGTCATCCTCTGAGGGTAATGTATTAGTGGGTTTACTTTTAGCACTAATATGGCTCTCAGCTCCAGCTAATATCTCATCATTGAGGATCCTGTCATCTCCTTTGCAGGCGTTATGTGATTCATGCTGTTGTCTCTCTGCATCTTTCTCTCCTTGCTGGAGGCAGGTTACAACGGTGGCTAGTTGCCTCTCAAGGTCTGTAATATTAATCGGGGTGGATTGAAGCCTCTCTCTGCAGGCTTGAATAATGTTAAGAGAAACCTGAAACCTACCAACCAACATCCTGCAGCGACTTTCTGTCACCTGGGCGAAGCGCTGGCTCTGCTTGGCCTGACTGTGAAGCAGCAGACTGAGATGCTGAGCAGTGGCTCGGCTCCGAGTGAGCTGAGAGCAAAGGTGGGGGTCCTGGCAGCTGATGTGGCTCTGGTGTTCCTCCAGTCTTTGCATGATGTCCCTTAACTTTTCCTCTGTTACATACAGCTTGGTTTCGAGTGCCTGGATCACACACATAAACTTTTCTGGGTCATCTCCTGAAGTGGCAATGCTCTGACATGATGAGTCCATTGAGTGAGAATGGCTTCTTGCAGTTTCATAAGCATTTGAGCTGTCTGTTGCCTTTAGCCTGCTGTCATTTTCAGTGAGAGGATCAGTGGTCTGTTGTTGTCTCTCATTTTCCTGAGCAGGCTCTGAGGATTCATCCTTCAGCTGAGCCGAAGCACAGGTGCAAGTTTTCAACACTTCATTCAGCTTCACTTCTGTCTCCTCCAGGCTATTACCTAAGACTTCCATCTTCAGCAAAACCTCACTCAGCTCTTGCTCCTTCCTGTCCAGGAGTCTCTCGTAGCCTTCTCGCATGTCCTGTGTTTCAGTCTCCTTTTCCTGCACCTTCCCTAGGACCAGCTGCAGTTCCTCACAGACTCTCTCATAGGAGTGCTCAAGATTGTAGTAGTGTGTCTCATCTGTTTTCAAGCGACTCTGCAGCCTGCTCACCTCCCCATCTGCCTCAGATAACTGGTTCTGCAGCTCTTGACAGCGACAGTTGAGCTGCTCTCTTTCCTCTTGAAGTCTCTGCACAGCAGATACTGTACATGCTAGCTCCTCCTGAAGCTGTTGTTGAGCCTTCTCAATTTCTGTGGTCCAGGTCTGAGTCTTATTCAGGCACCCCACCTGCTCTTCAGCCCTCTCCAGTCTCTCCTGGAGGTCTTGTGAGTGTTGCTCTGCCTGTGCCAGGCTAGCAGCCAAACTCTTCCGTTCTCTCTCCTGACTTGCTTGAAGGAGCATGAGGTGCTTCTGTAGGCGATCCTCCTTTTGAGCCTGTGCCTCCTCATTAGCACGAAGTTGAGTTGACACCTCTTGGAGATTTTTCTGCAAGCGATCAGCCTCCTGCTGGAGACTGTGGAAATTCTGCAACTCCTGCTGCAGCTGTGTTGAGCGTGACTCAGCCTCCTGCCTCTTCTCCTCACTGACGCTCAGCTGGGACTTCAGGGAGGCCACACAACGCTCCCACTCCACTTGCAGCTCATGAAACCGCAGGCGGTCTTGCTCTAGATGGGCTTGTGCAAGTGCTGTGGCATCACCTGTGACCAGTAACTGTGCTTGTTGAGCTAAGAGATCGACTCGTCGCCGTAGTTCAGCCTCTCTGGCTTCCTCCTGAATCCTCTTTTGAGCCTCCAGCTCAAGGCGAAGCTCATGGTTCATCTTCTGCAGCCGCTGTAAAGCCAATGCTCGTTCCGAAGACGAGCTGGGGTTTAAAAGATTGTTCTACAGGACAACAGTGAGCTTAAATTAGGACATGCTGATATACACCTCTCCAAGTCTATTTACAGTACACAATATGGCAGCGGGCATAAATGTATCACCTTCAAACTAACTAATGCTACTAAAAAACTGTGAATATTTATATGTTTGAGTTGTCTTCTGTGTTATACCTGTGGATAAACCCTTACCCTTTGATGAATCTCTCTCTCTTGCTGTAGCTCATCCTGCAGAGTCCTGTTTAACTGCTGGAGACGAGACAATTCCTTCTGTGTTTGTTCCAGCTGTAGAGAAAACAAGTATTTGTGCTTTTATGTTTTTAAGTGATAGAGACAGCTGAAGGTAGGAAAAGGAGAGAAAAGAGAGTGGATGACATGCAGCAAAGGGCCACAGGTTGGAATCAATGCTGGGCTGGTCAAAGTGAGCTACTGGGGCACCCCATATTTGTGCACTTCTGATATATTCCTCACAATATTGAGTCGCTTGTTATTTCTAGTTTGTAATTTTGTAAGTTTGTGGAATTCACACACACACACACACACACACACACACACACACACACACACACACACACTCAAACATGATCTCACCTCTTTGAGAAGTTGGCCAGTTTGCTGCTCACAGGGCAGATTTTTCTTCACTTTTGTGCACTCACAGCTGAGGTTTATTGATACTTGTTGCTCCTCACTCTGGGCTGTGGTTTTAACTTGCTGCTCAGTTTCACTCTGCATGTTTCCATCAAAACACTCATCATTTGAGCGGATTGTTGTGGAAGCAGAGCGATCACCTCCAGCTCCTTCAATGCATGGAGTCACATCTGTCTCACCTGGTGAACAGAAAGTTATACAAAGAAATTAACTGTGTATCACTACCACTATGTACGTTGCATGATGGAGCAAATTTAAGCTATTTTTTAAAAATATGTGATTTTCTTTCTTCATTTGTCACAGTTTTTTTTAAATGACTCTCCAAGCGTACATCGATGACAGAAAGCACCTTCTTTGTCCTCTTCCACCTGCTGGGGAGGATTGATGGGAGAAAGAGCAGAACTCTGCTCTCTCTCTGACTGCAGTTTGAGTTCTTGTTCTTCCTGCCGTCGATGTGTTTCCTCTGCACCCTCACTGGTTCTGTGCTCTTGAGAAAAGCTGTCTTGGTGTTCAGCTTTCTCCAGAACCTCAGCTGATTGTGAGTCCGGTTGCTGTGATTTCTGTTGAGTCGTCTGCTCTGGGAGGAAGCTTTGACAGATACAAAAGAAACTTCTTTAGACTATACACAACACATAATTTATTAAGTATGTTCAACCCACTAATATACATAAAATAGCTGGTAAGTTAGGATACTTCAAGAAATTAGTCCTAAAGGCAGATACAGTGAGATCTGGAACAGTGCAATATATTTGTATCTATCTTTATCTTTGACACTAATCATGCAGCCCTTTTCTAAATGTAATAAAACAACTTTATTTACCTTGTGACGTCAGGTGTAGGACTGGGCCTCACATTCTTTAACACTGCTTGGACCCAGTTACGCCTCATCCCAGAGGTCATAGCACAGAGTGTGTATACTCCGTCTCTTGTCTGTGGAGAGAGAGATATTATTCATTACACACCTTTCAGTGAAAGGCAGTGGATGTGTTAGAATTGATTTACCCACAATGCAGTGTAACATCAAAGCTTGACTCCTGCTACCCACCGCTCTTTAGTCAAACATCCAACTTAAGATTTTTTTAAATATTGAATATATTTCATGATTAGTGATGTGTGATGTAACTTAGTTTTTCAAATGCAGTATAGTATGCTGTGAAGAAGAATTAGATGTGCATATAGTGGTGAGTAATGCATTGTTACTAGTATATACCATATGAAAACAATACAACAAAGTACAGTAAGAAAACAGGAATATTGACAGTTTTGTCTTAGTTTCGCAATGTGCCCCGAACCAGACAAATAAAATCCCCAACAGTAAATATCACATACTGTGAAACTACAGTAGTTAGGAACTTAAAAACTGCTTTGGTTCCACTGTGAGTGGGCAGAAGACAACCATATAGGTTTCACTAAAGTAAATGCCATATAGAGAATTGCAGATAAGCATATTACAGACAGCAGAAAAGAGCAATAATAGACCCAAACCTCCATGAAACAGTATGTTACAGTAAGTAAGCATCTTTCCCTTCAGAGTGAAATCCAGCTATGATTGCAGTGATACAGATAAATAAATAATTTACTAAATAAAGGGGGAAACACAGGGGTGTTGAGGGGTTTGCAAAGAATACACAAAGGACATCACTCCTTCATCACAGAGGAGCCACAGAAAAAGCCACATGACTCTGGAGAGGCTACTGCAAGTGATGGAACAGAGTCTTTATAATTTGCCTCCACACTAAAACAGTTTGTGCAAAAGTGAGACAATTCTGGTAGAAAAGCCAAAACGAGCACAGTTGCAGATTAGAAGCTGGTGTATTCTTTTCCAGCACCAACCAGCAACTTCAACCAGAGATCAACGATACCAGCTGGTTAGACACTGCCACATACAATTTGACCTTCCTGCCTGTGTTACAGCTGAATAACTTTATTTTACTCCTCTAAACATTTATTGAGACATGTGGGTAAAAAGAAAACACGAGAATTAAAATCTACATAACTGATTTAAAAATATAAAAACGTTTGCTGTCATCCTACCTAATTAAGAATCAGGGCAATGCCCAGTGTGCTCAGTTCATGCCTTGTCACACTTGCCACATATTACAGAGCACATGTGATGACATATATGTTATCAGACTCATTGAACTGTATGCATTACTAATTTATCTGACTGTTAATTTGAGCAACTATTGAACTCACATGAATTTGAAAACCACAGTTCCTCTGAGTTGGGTAGTCTGTGATGTCAAAACATGTGGACAAGTTTATCTCACCGTCCACATCAGCTGCCTGAAATGAACAATCAGGGAACAAAGCAACTTAGGGGCAAATATCTATAACATAAACCTCCATTCAGACATTCACTTACAGTTAATGCTGAGTAGAGTTATATGCCTGAGTGCCTGATGTCACATTTTACCTATGCCCATGAGTTTCTTTATCTTTTATTTTTTAATTTAACAAAGCAGATTATAGCATTACTATTATACCTCCTCAGCTATTGAATCTTTGTAGGACCTCAGGATTTGGTCAGTCAGGACAAACCAGTGTTGCTGCCACTATATAAGAGACACATTCACAGTCAGAGCAGAACAAGATTATTAGCTTGTAATCATGCCACTGTTCTTATCAAATATAAATATATACTACTGCTATATAAAAGTGACAGTGAATCTTCAAAGTCACCTGTCCAGATGCATTCTGCCGCATCATCCATCCTTTCTTAAAGTTGAGTAGGTCAGGCTGAAGAAGAAGCAAAGCATCTTATGTGCTACGCAATAAGTTTTGGTTTTTATGCATGTTAACAACCAAAGTAAGCACACTTAAACATGCTGCGACAATGTGTCAGGATCAGACTCACAATAGCAGAGGTCTTAATAGCTCTGCGCTCGTGGGATTTTAGCCAACTGTAACGAGGGAGGGACGAGCGTTTCAACTCCTGGCACAGAAAAGGGGGTATAACAACATTTGAGGTTCTTTTTTGTCTTTTTAACTTGGTTTACAAATCATCTTCTCTGCTTAAAATTAGTCATCATTAAGTTAAAAACACAGAGGATTTAACAAAAAACACAATTAATATGGAGCAGCAGTTAGTATTGTTCTTGTATGTAGCTTCAAAAGTATTGGATTCCTTATTCACTTCAGAATAAGTTTAACTTAATAGGCCATTTTTTCTATAAAATACTTTTTAATCCATGTTCTCTCGATGGTATATTTGTCAAAATTAGGTCTTAAATAAAGTAATGAAGAAAATAAAATAATGAGTTGAATGTAAAACGTTTCCAACATTTAACAAAGAATATAGTCGTCAGCATATACTGAAGGTGTCTCCATGTCTTTTGAAATCTTACATTAAAATTAGATTAATTTGGCAACAACTTTTTAATGACAAGATAAACACACACAAATACCACTAAAGATTGAATCTCTTACACAAGGACTCTGATTATGATATTGCTATTATACAATTATTTTTGACTTAATCCAACATTCTTAGCATGACTGTAACATTTCAGGCATTTTATAGCTTGATTTTTAAGTCTATAATTACCTGTTTGTTATTCAGAGTTTCTAAAATATTACTAAACATTTTCCTTGTACTTTTTTTATTGTGCGATTACTATATATTGTGCTGTTCCTGCCCTCCAATACCCCAATGACTTTCACCTCATTAAACTCTTTGATTCACATGTTTTGGAAGAAAATGTATAATCATTTGTGGCAGGACAAAATATGCAGATTAACAAGGAAAGGAAAGGGTAGGAACACTGCAAACACACAAACCAACAAAGCCACATCCTCAAGTGCAAGGAGGGAACACACACACACACACACACACACACACACACACACACACACACACACACACACACACACACGTAGAGAAACAGAAAAGGCATAAATCCTAGTATGGCTCCAGTGAATAGGAACTTTCATTCAAAAAGGGGATGTATCATTTGATGTTGAATAATAGCTCCATGAGACAGTGTCTCACAATTCTTATGTTTGTTAGGTAGAACACAAGGGCCGAAGATGTGGCATGTTTTCAGTGGCCAGCAAGAAACTACTACACTTATATACTTTCTTACTGTCTAGACCAGCTAACTGAATCACTTGAAACCAAGGTACAAGCTGAGACAGTGCTGTGATTGCCTCTGAAACCAAAATAATGTAGTTTAGTTCTACCAGGTGAATGCCTTAATTTGGCTTTTAACCCAACTATATTTCTGATAAGAACAAAGAGATTCAATTATTACAATCACTGCTGCACCTTTATATGGAGGGGCTACATGCGTCAGTACCAATCGACTATGCAACTGTAGAACAGTTATTAATGTATGTAATATGCTGATCAGTACACACAGACAAAGGCAGAAAGCCAGCTTGACATTTCTAGCCTGCAGAGCCTTAAATCCAGCAACAGCGGTTACTCATAAATTATAAACAAGTAAAACTAAAAGTACCTGTTTCTTTACTTTGTTGCAGTCACGATGACATTCAGCGGTAGAAACCAAAGAGGAAGAAGACTCTGGCTCAGAGGAGCTGCTGGTTTTCATTTTCTCAGTATTATCAACATGACACTGGTCTTTGTTATTCCTTTAATGATGAAAACATAAATGAAAAAGATTGTTATGGTTAGTATTGACTGCCAATCCCTAACATGTATTAATTCCTTGTATGTGAAAACCTACTTAGCAATACACCTGTTTCTGATTCATTTGGACTTTCACAAAGAAACCATAAAACAAATCCAGGAGCCCTCATACAAATTCTTAAAAACAAACCTGATCTGCTCCTTAGACGAGGACAGCTGGACAGAATTCAGAGCTTTCTTTTTTGTAGTTTGTCCTTTTTTTTCTTGTGAACTTGGAACTGCACCTGGATCTGTTTCAGAGACAACAGTAAAGAAATAATAGCTGTGTATATATATACTGCATAAGACAATAGTGCAAAACTAGTAGATAGCATAAGTAAAATCAGACACACACATTTAGATTTTTCGAAATATAATATATAATAATAATTTGTCTACATATTCTGTAAATATACTTCAGAACTACACATAACACACAAATTGAACAATGAAATTACCGTCTCCAGTGGAATTCTGGTCAAGTCTGTTCAGAGAGCGGCTGCTTCTCATGAACGGAGCAGCAGTGAGAGAGGAGGTGTGGAGGGAAGAAAAGCTCCGGCTGGTGCAGAGGCGGAGAGCTGGTCCAGCTGGGCGAGACCCTTGTCTAGTACCCTGGTGGCCAACGCAGCCTTGGTGGCTGATGCTGTCTCTTTTCAAAGAGCCACCAGCCTTACTATCAGTCGAGTCACTACCTCTGCTGCTGAGGCTGTGGCTCCTTCCAAAAGCAACAATGGTTCTAGATTTACTTCTGCCAGCATGTTTACCTCCACTAGATACAGGTACAGTCAATGCTGTTAAGTCCTTTGAGAGAGAAAAAAGAAGAGCAAGAGCAGATGTTTAACAGGGATTGTGTAAGAAAATAAGTCACAACAGAACAGTTCTGTGTTGTTTTTAGTTTTGAGGATGATGATATTTAAATGTCAAAACATCGCACCTCCTGCTCACCCCCATCCCAACTTGGACTCTTTGACACATACAATCCAATCACTACTGGAGAGAACCTTTTAATCCTCACAAGAGCTCTTAATTTGCTTAAGTACCATCTGACCGACACTGTGATCATGGACAAACGACACACACACACACACACACACACACACACACACACACACACACACACACACACACACACACACATATTACATTTAATCACACTTGAGCATTGGAAAGCCATCAGACCTAGGCAGTCTATTCCAGTCTGTGGAGATGCAACCTCACCAACTGCAGAGGCAATCAATCTGAGGCTGGACCACAAGACAGAGAAATCAATTAGAGGAGGCTCGAAGAGTCCTGACTTAGCGGCTTGTGCAGGTTGTAACTGCGCTGACTTGAACTTCAGCCATTAATGGCAAAATAAATCAAACCAAATACATGCGTTCCTAGCAAAAACCTCCAGACACTCTGGGGAAATTGTGTCCATGTTAAATGAACAACACAGAACATTAATATAGTCCAATAATTTCATTTACACAGTTGGCATTAACTGTGCTGCTGGAAGAAGAGGAGTTATTATACCGTAAGATTCTGTACTTCAACCCTCACAAAACCAGGTTAGCAATTTGCCAGTGAGCCTCAACACTAATTAAAACGTGAAATCCATTATTTTAAATGACACAAAAGACTGGCTGAGCAGATGTGTTACATTCAGCACACTTTTGCCTGCAAAATGTAAATGTCCTCTGTTGATCTGAGTTAAATTGTTGTGGTAATGTGTTAACTTTAAGTTGTTGAATTGTAACAATACTGTTGTACTCGCAAAAATCATAAACTGGAGCATTTAATCATGGTCTTTATTGTCCCTTGTGAATTTTTTTTTCTTGAAGTGAATTTTGAGCTATCAGGTATACAGAGGGATACTACATTTATTCTAGAAGAATGAATACAGTGAAAATGTAAAGTCATATTTTAAAAGTCACATGTTGCCTACTCACTCAAACTTTCTAACATAACACTATATTTCTCCTTTCAACAATTCTTTCAAAGTCAGTGTAATAAAACAATCATTTGTGTCTCTGAGAGGCGTCTTTCAGACAAAATTGAATGCTTAAGGTCATAAGCATCACAAAATTACAAAACAAAGTAACTGTGGCACTTACCTTTCCTCCTGTCTTCTGTGTAGGTTTGTTTGTCTTAGAGTTTACCAGGGTCTCAGGCCACGTGCTGTACATAAGAATAAAACAATTATTTGGGATTGACAATATTTCAAAATGTCTCTAGCTTACATGTGCTGATAATTCATAAAATGCAAACAAAATGTTTACTTGAAAAGCAGCAACTGAACAGCTTGTGGATGTAACCCAAGTTGATAAAAATAATATGTAGCTGGCAAACATCTGCATCTGTGATGTGGTTTAAAGGGATAATCTGTGCAGTTATTTTTCCCATGAACACACAACGTTTCTTCTGTAGGCCTAACAGACCCTGTAGCTGCTATAATGACACAATTAAGTGCAGTTCAAGATACCCGACATTATTACTTTACAATGCTGAGTGTTACAAAGGACAAGCATTCATCTTAAAGTGCTACAGTGTGACATTGCAATGAGCCCTTTCCCATATTAGTACTGGTGGTTAAATAACTGCAACAACAAATGGTCTGCTTAGCTGCTTATGTGACACTTGGAAAGCTGTGATTACTTCAGAGGAGTTGGAGGAGCATTTTACATGTAGTAAATTAGCGCCTAGTGTTAGCAGGACGGTGCCAGGAAACATTACATGGTTTGGCAGCAGTGTGGGTGTAATGCAGAGGCTATAGAGCAAGGATTAAAAAATGTTTTAATCTATAACACATCCATCTCTCTCACGTCAAGAAAGTGAGAATTCATTGCCAGGAAACTGATCACATGTAGACACAGAAGGTACCAAGTAAATAGTAAATACACAAATAAATATGCTCACTGTTCCTTCTCATCTTGATGTGAATCACGTACTTTAATTAAGATGTTATGATCACAGCAATGTCTGAATCTGTTTGCATTTATATTTAGACTAATCCATCTAATTTCAGACCAAACATAGTATAAAAGGAAACAACACATAATGCTCACTTACCTTTGCTTCTTGGACATGATTTTCAGCAGTACGATGAAAAAACACTGAAGGAGACTATCGAGATAAACACAAGAACTTCTGGCTGATATTGTTTTCCACCTGCGCTCCTTCTTACTCTGGCAAAAACTAGAGAGAACTAATCACAAATAGGTCTATACAACACACACACACACACACACACACACACACACACACACACACACACACACACACACACACAATCCTATACACAGTTGACAAACTCCATTAGAGTTTTGCAGGATTAGGCCAACATCTTAACAGGATTACCACTCTGTAGTTTTAGTGATCTTGACGTACATCTTTGGAGTTTAGATCAAGACACAGTATTTAATTTGCTTGAGCACAATCCACAACAGTAGTGGAGAGAAACACATGAAGTCTCTCTAGTCCAACTGATAAAAAGTATGGCTGCGGACTGTGCATTTGTTCTGCTGAGGACAACCACACAGCGCTCACTGTAGATCTGTGACCAGAACTCAACTACCAAAAAACTATTTGAGATACTCTTTGAGCTACACCAAGAAAGCAATTAACACGCAATTAGAGTTAAGTTCATTAGAGTCATAATAGCCTGAATGGACTGAGAAAATAATCTATAGCTCAATGAGAAATTGTATTTTTATTATTATTATTTCTAGAGGTTAGAACTATATTGTTTGCTTAATATAATGTCATGAAGCAGATATCAGCATCAGGTAATATTAAGGTGTTCATGTTGAACTAATGTGTTAAACATGCAAATGTGACACAAGCTGTATATCTCTATCTTTGTGAGCTCAACTGGCATCAAAGTAAAATGTAAAACGTGTTGTAATCATCTCTGGTCTCCATTTATTATGACTGCTATTGTAAGAGCACAATAGATAAAGTTGGCACATTTCAGCTTCCACTTCTTACTAACCTCAACTGGCACATTTTAACATCTGCAACAACAATGTGCCTTTAATTCATATTTAAACTGTCCTACTGTATCTATAGTGTATTCACTTGCCTTTGTCTATACTGTACATATCTCCCTATAGTGTATTCATATCTAGCTGTCTGTATATAATGTCAACCAATTTAATTACTTGTACTGACACTATATAATTACTGCTAACACTGTTCATACTGTAAATATCTTAACTTAATAGCTGTATATATCTTTGTGTATTCACTTCACTCTGTTCATTCTGTGAATGCTGTTCATACTGTAAATATCCTGCTAGCATATTCATATAGGCCTATATATATGTACATATGCACATTACTCTGCACTTTACTGCTGTTTGCACTTCTGGTTAGATATTTAACTGCATTTCTTTGTCCTAGTACTTTGTGCAATGACAATAAAGTTGAATCTAATCTAAATAAATACTAAAATCACCATTGGATATACTCCAGGAGCTCTGATATAGTCATCGTGTATTAAATCATGTTCAACCAAAATAAGTATTTCTCTCGCCAGGTCTGAACCAATAAAACTCACCTTTGTACAATTTTAACTAAGCACGTCGGAGAATAATGATGAAACTTTTCCCACAGTACTTGAATGCAGCATGTGAAACATTGACTGTGGCTTTTATAATTTGGTTTCAAACCTCTTTGTCCTTAAACAGTGTGAGCTTTCTCTACTCTTGTAACGTTATATTATACCTGTGTGTGTTATATTACAATAACCCCCCCCCCTCCTCTCTGACAACCCCGGCGCTGATTGGCTGGATGTCACCTGACCTCACAGCTGATCTCGGTGGATGAAGTGTTTTGCTTTGACCGTTCATCATTTTCATGTTCATGTAGCCATTTCTGGTTAGCATCGCTGTAGAGTAGCATAGCCACCGTCGTCCACCGTAGCAAGCCACCATGGCCCAGGCCGCACAGGCTAATGCTTTCGACCCAAACACCTCTCAGATCCAAGTGGAGCACGATAAAAAGCGTCGGCAGTTTGTTATAAGACTAAATGGTAAGTTCAACATGGCAGCATTAGCATGCTAGCTGGCTAATGTTAGCTCAGATGTTGGTGTCGCTTTTCCTTGCTGCCAACATCGTCGTCGTGTCCTTATTGATAACTCCAGCTGCCATTACGGACCCAGAGGTGTTACTAGACTCACACAGTGGGAATGTCACGACTTTATTCACACGGTGGTTCGTGTCTTGAGCTGAACAGATGAAAGAGCTTTGACTTCCCCAGCTTGTTGTTGTGGCACGACGAAAACATTTTCATCGTTTCTTTCCTGGAAGCAAAATATGAAACTTACAACAGCATTCACTCCCAAAGACACTCCCGAACATCCATTATTCTTCTATGTGAAGCTGCCTTTGATAAGTCAGACCCATATTTGGGCTGTGGCTCTTCTGTTTGTTATGTAAGCCTTTGTTTTTGGTCTGTGAACCTTTTGGTTTATGAAACTAAAATACAGGTGTTTGAATGTTTTATTTGAGTTATGATTTGAGAGCTGTGAGATGTGTTTACAGCAAAAAAACTGGAAGCCATTGTTCCCCGAATGAAGATCTTTATTAAACTCTGTCTCTCTCCACTTAAAGCTACATTATCCTTTCTCATTTGCCCAGCACTTGTCTATACATGGCCAGCTGATGTCCTATTTTCTTGAAGTTATAGGCTACTGACTGTGCACCACATCACATGGTATCAAACCAGCGACCCTCTTGTTTTGAGGTCAAATCACTAATGCCATGTCATATTGAGCAGCCATGTTGCAATATTTTATTTAGATAGGAAGCTGCTACTACAAGTGGATCCATAACTTAGGCAGTGGGCTCACACTCAGCTTTAACTTCCAATGTTTTATACTTAATGGAGCATAAGATTGTATAACATGTACAAGGAGGTTTTTGTGTCTCGTGGTTGATTGTCACACCGAGCAGTTTTGATGAATCCGCTATATTAGCTTTGCCCTTAAACATTCACCATCGTATGCAAGTATTATGAGTAACCCTTAGCGAGGTGGTGTCAGGTTGGCGTTTGTACGCTGTAGGAGAGGGTTGGGTGCACACACACACACACACACACACACACTTAACTGAGAGCTACGACTTCTGTCTGCCCTCAGGATCTCATGATCGTGCGGTTCTTCTGTACGAATACGTTGGGAAGAAGACGGTGGACTTGCAACACACTGAAGTTCCAGATGCTTACAGAGGGAGAGGAATAGCCAAGCACCTGGCCAAGGTAAAAGGGTTTTGTTCATCAGTTAGTTTCTCTTTATGTCTTAAAAGGCCCAAACATATAAATCTGAAGTATGTTCATGTGCACATCTCAATGGTGTTGTTTATATTTGGAACACAGATTGTACCTTTTTTCAAATTTCTGACATAACAAACCTTTAAAGGACAGAGACTGTTTAAGTAGAACTTTTATTTAGATGACTTCACTGAGGATTTTACCACTTATATCTGGGATACTCAAGCACAGATCACACAGTTGCATATCTCAGATTCCTGAAGCTACAATACACACATAGAGATAAATGACCACAATGTTCGTATAAAATGCCTGTCAGAACAATTTAAACGTGATTTTGTGCTTCTGTGATGGCAGGCAGCGATGGATTTTGTGGTGGAAGAGGATCTGAAAGCCCACTTGACCTGCTGGTACATTCAGAAATATGTCAAAGAGAATCCTCAGCCTCAGTACTTTGAACATATTTATCAATGACCCTACATGGCGCTCTGCCAGAGAAAAGACGGAGAAAGAGACTCCAAGGGGATAAATACTGTTTGGCAACATGCTTTGGAGTTACAGGATGATAATACAACAAAGGACCTTCCAGGCATTGTTAATCATGACATTGAGCAACTCTGGAGACAAATGATCTCACAGGAAATACGTCTGTGAGCTGAACGCTGGGTCGACGGGTCGGTCACGTCCATAACACGGGGATACACACTCACCAGAAACAGGAAGTGAATCAGCTGGTCACGACTTGTAAAACCATGAGCGAATCAACTAACCAAAGCTGAAGCCCTGTTACCTCAGACAGAAACCTTCAGGACGTACACCAGTCGCTGGCTGGGAGCAAGGGTTAGGCATGTAATGAGAACAGATGTGAGTCAAAATCGTATGTTGCAAATGTTCTGTCCTCCGGTGGCCTCGCTGGTTGTGAGCAGCGCTACCAGATGACCAACCCAGGCGTCTTTCTCTGCAATAGTTTGGACTGGAGCAACGGTGACTTCACTGTTGCACAAACTGTGATGACTTTTATATTTTGACCCACTTTTGATATTCTATGGCTTTTTTTTGTCTTATTCTTTCAATTTGCTTTCCCACCTTTCTTATAAATTGTGCTCATTTAGAATACTAACTGCAACATCAAGAAAAGTTTGTTTTATTTTAGGTGTCGGCATAAATTTGGTGGGTAAAGGGTCCTTTTTAAAAAATATAATCTATATTTTGCAGACATTTATTTTCCCAAACTCTCAATTTGTGCTCCAGCGTTACTGTATCCACTTCCCTTTCTTCCAGCAGCTGTCCATTATCGGAGGAGTCATAATCGATTAATAAAAGATGCAGGGACTTGTAAACCAAAGAACACAAACTGAGGATGTCTAACTCTGGAGCTGCAATCCTGAATAAGCCTCAAGATAAAACTCATTATGTTCCTTACTGTACATGTTAAATGTTATCAACACACGGGATAAATTGGGTCTGGAGCTTGTCACTGTGGTACAACGCCTCAGTGTGGCTATGGATAAATATCTTTAGCTTAAACCAGCATTTCAAACACAGCACTGCTACATTCAGGGCAATTACAATCCACAGTGTCCACCATCCTTTTGTACTGTCATTCAGGGAAATGACGCTGGTTGGTTGAAGCTCAAAAGTCATTTGATCTGTGTTGTTGTTTCTCTCTCTTACCCACAAGGCTTCTTTTGCCAGCTCGTGTCAAAATGATAAAGGTCATCATAGAAGAAAACTTGACAACTGAAATAAAAAGGATGACTGTGGTTCCTCTTTTTGGCTCTTCAGGAGCTTTTTGCTGTTGACAATCTTAAGTGTTGAGGAGAAAAACACTTCAGGTTACTCAACACACTCTGGCAGGACAGACCAGATCCAATGCAAGGCAGACTCCGTCTGCTCCAATCACTTAGAGGTAACTGCAGGAAACCACTTTCCCTTTATAAGACATTCCTTTAGGTGACACTCACCTATTGATAGGCCAAGGTATTCAAGGTGTTATTTCATTTTTTTTGTTTATATTTGTGTGTTTTATTGAAAGTAAGCATTGAGCAGGTGACTTCCTTTTTCCCCCATTCTTGTCTATAAATAAATAAATAAATAAATCAAGTACTCATCACATTATTAATTTCAATGTCTGTATGTATGTAGCAGGAAGATGTCCAAACAGACAACTTTAAAGAGAAGATTTGCAATACATTTTTAGACACTGTGCATTCATCAGTATTGTATTAAGATATAATAAATAATAATAAAACCCTTTTACTTTGTAAGATGAACACATTAAGCAAGGTGGAATAATTACCACATATAGGGCTACAGTAAGTCAAAGAGTTACTTCAGGACATACAACTGTCTACATACTAACTATATATGTATAGCTTGGTAACTTTAAGTCTATCATCTCTTTTGATAAACTTGTTTTAGCTTCCTGCAACAAACAGCACCAGTTTAAAGTAAATGAATGTGGTGAGTTTTGCCACCATCTGGTGACGGTATCAAGAATGACATTGGTGGACAGTAATTCACAGCTCTGTGTCAGCAGAACAATGAGCAGTATTTTGATTTCACTGTAGTATTGATCCATGGAAACTTAATAGGTTAAAAAATATCTAGCTGGGGTTCCAAATTAAATTAGGTCTGTGGATTTGTTTTATAAACTAGGTACTGAAGGGTTGAGTGCTCACACACAGTCATTACTTGACCAAACAGGGTCAACCACCAGCTAAACAAAACCACAGAGGCTGTGTGTCATATGGTGCAAAGCTGATTACTCCTCAAAGGGGGAAGATGGAGAGACACCCACAGTCTCTCTATGACCCACCAGAGCCATTTAAAAAGAATATTCTTATATTTGACTAGTTTTTAGCCAACATAACCTAATTATGGGCACTAATATCAGCGACTATTTGATATCTGACTTTGAGGATGCTTAATGCACCAGTGTTAAATGACATTTACTCTAAAGTTATAAAAGTTTTCTACTTTAAATCTGGCATCCAATACCAACCATCAATACATTACAGTTGTCGATAGGTTATAATAATGTATACCCAATACTCATGAAGGGCTCAGTGTCCCTCCACCAGAATGTGATGCTGTGACTGGACCACTTCTCTCCATTATTGATTAATCAACACCATTGTTGCAGTAGTAGATTAATAATTAAAACATTGATTGATTAATCATTTACCTCCCAACAGTCCCTCCAAATAGCCTCCATCGGTTGAAAGGATCCTCGGTGATATGTTAAATATGTGCGAGCAACCATGCTTTAAACAACAAACAAACAAAAAATCACAGCTCTAAAGATTGCATCACCGATATTATTGATTGATTGGATTTGTATTAACCCGCCATGCATGCGTCACTCGGGTCCCTGGACAATAAAGCTGGTACAATTGTTGTCACCGGCGCAGTGTTTGGTTTCAGCTGGTCTCACAGTCCTGAACGTGGCCATCACGGTTGTGACATCAACAGCGCCTCATCCGGTTACAGCACGCACGAGGACACAGAGACAGAGCGCGAGGGCACAATATGGGTGAGTACTTAAATTATAAAAGCAATAAAACATATTGATAGGACACTGTGTTACTAACTGTATACTACTACTACTACTACTTGCACTATTACCGTTTAAAATCAATAAACGGCAGTATTTATTTTATTATTATTATTCTGATTTAAACAAACAAACTTTTGTTCCTTTGTGTCACATTTATTTAGATTTATTTTTTATTTGCTCTGACCTCTCAAACTTCTATGTGCTGTTATAAAATACGTAACGGCAGGTACTCTGGCTTCATAGCATCATGGGAATAGTAGTCCGCTTTCGAGTCCCAGCGACGTGTCGACTGCGTTGACACACTACATTACCCAGAAGGCTAGGCGCCGTCATACGTCAACTGCAATCACGGTTGTATCTCCAACATGGCGTCGCTGGGAAGGAGGCGCGGTGTCCCAGTAAGCAGGGAGAGGTCAGTTACTCCACATCTTGGCCATAAAACGAAAATGTTTTAATATGATACATCGTTTTGTAGATGTCACCATTCGCCACACGCTGAACACGCATATCGTTTGGGATTTAAAGTTTAATGCCAACACGACAGGTCGGAATTTTACCCCATGGTTAGCTAACGTTAGCTGGCTAACGTGTACGGCTAGCTAACGTTAGCCAGAAAACAAACTAGCAGCTCATGTGATGTTTTGGTCGTTTCACACACCGACCGATTACCGGTGGGAAAAGTTTGCGTTTGTCCGTGCGTGGGTGCGAACTGTGGCGGGATATGCCCCGACTCACATGCTACACAGTCCCGGCTGAGCTAATGATGTTGTCCGCTGTGTTTGTCGACCTGCTCTGAAAGTAAACCCGTCCTGAACTCAGCTGCTCAGTCCAACAACTTTCTACCACACAGGAGTCAGTCTGCGCTATCGAACCGACGCCCGGTACACTGTGTCCTAGAGCTGATCTCTGAAATCATCTGTGTTAGTATCCGATACGACTTCAACTTATTTACCCCCCTTTTGCTAATGCCCCTTTTTGTGTGTGTGTGTGTGTGTGTGTGTGTGTGTGTGTGTGTGTGTGTGTGTGTGTGTGTGGTCGTTAGGGTTTACTTGTCAACATGTACTGGAAGGCCTCGGAGTGTTGACACTGATCCACACATATGTGTTTGTCATATTTAAAGATAAGTACAGTCAAACGGAAACAGATCCGTTCACAGAGGTTACATCACCCACTGTATGAACTAATCGATTAATCAACGACACGGTCAACAGAAAATTGACAAATTGTAAAATATAAAAGTTGGTGTTTGCAGGGTAATAAATGCGGATGTTTTTGTGTTACAAAATGTTTCTCCATATGAAGGTTTTTTTTATATTGTTGTGTTTGATTGACAGCAGTTCACGTTTGGAAACTTGTGATCACAGTTGGGCAATGTTTAAGTTTTCTCATAATAAATTGAAAAAAAAATTGATTGCAACCCAAGTACACACATTTAAAATAATGGATATCTAAATGTGTGTACTGTATGTGCATGCATGAGTTAATGTACATACAGTACAGAGCTAAGTATATGAGAGTGTGAGTGAGTGGTGTGTGTGTGTGTATAGTGTATTTAACAATATGAATGTGAATGGGCTTCATACTGTTTTAAAAATGTCACAAAACTCACTCACCATATCTCATATTGTGAAGGTCACAGACATAAACCTTTCATCGGGAAGGTATCACTTTAGCTAAATCCAGTCTTCTCCAACAGTAGATAGATAATACATATTCTGTGTTATTTATTTATTTTTACTTAATCCAGAGATGTGTACTACAAAGCGAGGTAACTGGCTTATCCAGGTAACTTCAGGAGTAACTCTGTGACGGCAGGTGTAACTTCCAGGTTAACTCGGGCTACAAAAGGTGGATACGTTTTACCTGAGGTATGTTGTCTTGGCAATTTATGCTCTATGTCTAAACTGCTCCGAGCAGGTTATTTTCGTGGTTTAACTCAATGTTGCCACATAAATCAACTTTCCTCGGCCCACAAGCTTGTGGAGAAAAATGCCGACACATTTGGAGGACGTTGGGCACGGATTGTGAGAGGCTCACTGCGGAGGGCGAGGGTGTTTAGAGACTGTCAGAAATTCCAACAGTAGCATTACATTCACTCAGGTAGCCCTTCAGCCTCGGTGCTTTAGGGAGTAGATTTTAATTCAGGGTTTAAAATTGTCAGCCATGGTGGCTGTGAATATATCCTGATATTATCACAGTACATTTTTCTCGGGACAAATGTGGAGCACGAGCCATAATGAAAACACTCTTCCCGTGCTGCCAAACACGCCCCTTTTATGCCTTTTATACCTCAGATTAGGTTGACACAGACTCAACCAACCTCCTAATCACCGTCGTAGTACCATGTAACACCAGTGTAGGCAATCGGTTTGTCAACTTTTTATAACCCCGAGTTAAATCCTCGTCGTTCAACTCTCTTCGTCGTCCAGCCCTCTGGTATATGATTTATATATGCTTGTTACAGATTACATGTTAGTTGTGTCAAATGAGAAACATTTGGGTAAAACATCCATCTTGGAATGTTTGTCTTTTTCTGGACAAAGAAAATAATGGATGGGTCCATTATAAACGGGCAGGTTGGTGTAAAACTTTAGCCTAATCGTTCTTAGATCTGTCTTGTTGCACTGCTCTCTATCCTTTCTCTCACTGTTCCTTGCTGGATTTTCTATTTCTGTGCAGGGGAGTGATGGCGGCGACAGATTGCTACATTGTGCACGAGATCTACAATGGGGAGAATGCGCAGGACCAGTTTGAGTATGAGCTGGAGCAGGCACTGGAGGCCCAGTATAAATACATTGTTATTGAGCCCACACGCATCGGAGATGAGACGGCCCGATGGATTACCGTGGGCAACTGCCTGCACAAGACGGCCGTGTTGTCAGGCGCTGCTTGCCTCCTGACGCCACTTTCACTGCCTCCTGAATACTCGCGCTACGTGGCGTTGCCCGCTGGCGCCCTCAGTGTGGCCTGTGCTGCCCTCTACGGGATTTCATGGCAATTTGACCCCTGCTGCAAGTACCAGGTGGAATATGACAGCCAAAAACTCTCACGGCTGCCCCTGCACACACTGACCTCCTCGACGCCCGTGGTATTGGTACGCAGGGATGACGTCCACAGAAAGAGACTCCATAATACGATAGCACTGGCTGCCCTGGCGTATTGCGCCAAGAAGATCTACGAACTCTATGTGGTATGAGTGCACTCTGAAGAGGGTTTAAGAACCAACAGGAAAAAGGAAAAAGAAAAAAAAAAAAAACAGAACCTATCTACCCCCAAATGTAAGAAAAGTGGAAGTCACGATCAGGCCCAGCAGTTAGCTTCACACGCGTGGTGGGTGCTTCCATTTTGAACTTTGATCAGAGGGATATAGTTAAAACTAGAAGGAATTGTTTTTTCCCCCCTTACATTTCCTTTACTTCAATGTGACAACAACAGCACACTTTTCTCCGTAGTACCCTTGTGCCTCCTCCCCTGCGCCCTCCACCTGCATTCTTGACACACAACAAGCTAGCGCACAAGGGTACGGCAGCAGTTCCTCCGGACTGAATTGTATTGCAGTTGAAACGGACAGACGTGTTTTGAGTACCAAGCTCTCCCCCCCCCCATTCCCTTCGTAGTTTTACTGTACCCCTTTCTTGCTGATCAGTACATCACCCTTTCATTAAACATTAGGATATTTCAAACTCACTTTTCTGTATTTTATTTTACTTTTTTTCATTAAATGGATTCTACATGATGTCCAGAAAAGAGCAAATAGCTGCAACTTATTTGAGATTGTGTCTTGTTCATGTAGATTTTCTTGTTTAAAAGAGTGCAGGTCAGATATCATGTGACAATGCTGTGGCTCAATGTCCTCTTTTGAAACACTACGAAAATACTAACTTTTGGAAAGTCATAATTCACACATGCTCCTAATAATGTATATTACATTGAAATCAAGCCAAACCCTCATAATTGGAACTTAAATATAGATATAATTACATTTTACACATATATATATATATATATACACAGGAAATTCTAAATTCATACTTTCTTAAATATGTTTATGCAATAGTGTTGTCTATATCACCACTTTTAAAATCTGGTGTCCCAGGAGGAGTAACTGTGAGATGAGCAACAATAAGTTGAGTAAAGGAATGAGTTGTGATACAGTATTACAAAGAGACTTGCCACAGTTGAGTAATAAGGTGGAATACAGATGTGAATTTGTTGAATTAAGAGTCACAGTAATCACATTATGGTCAATGATTTAAAAGTAAATCTTATTTAAATGACTTTCCACAAACACTTTTATTTCTTTGACAGCAGGAGAATTAGGATATAAAAACCTTTTATGGTACATATGTTCACGAAGAGTTTCCTGAAGAGAATTTCATGTACATCCCTGAAAATCTCCATTAAACAATGTATCAGAAATGAATTCCATCTGTTAACTTGATTCAAATGCACATTGAAAATGTTGGCGGTGAAGTATTGTCAGCACACATTATGCAAACAGACCGCTGTGATTGATCATCTAATACAAAAATGTTAGTCTTGCCTTTGCTTCATCACAATTATTTAGTCAGTTTCTGACATGAGAAGGGAATCATGTTTTAGACTGGTTTAAAAACGACTGAACAAGAGTTCAGAGTCAATGAAAATGTTCAACTGTTCATATTGATAAATGTCATCTTATTGTCCTGAAATACAAAACAAGGTGCTTTTGTTTTTTACCTCAGTAAATGGTGCTTACATTGATAATTTGCATAGTTTCTTAATTGTGTACAGTGTCTGAAAGCAGCACCTCAGATAACTGAGCATTTACGCACCAATGTGCTGTTTCCTCTCACCATACATATACTATTATGGGATGAGCAGAGACTGCAACACTGAAGCAGAAGGATGAGAGCGCAGAAGGATGAGAGCGCAGAAGGACGGCCTGAGACAACCTCATCAGTTTTCTGATTTGTGGCCAGAGCAGTCTAATTATCTGTCAGCTGACCTGCCGCTGACACTAGTGCTGATCCACAGGAGTCGGGCTTCTGGTAGCATAGGGGTGCCCCAGTCGTTATAAAGAAGATATTATCCATTAGGCTGGCCTAAGGACAGGTCAGTATGATACTATGAACAGTCATAGGAAAAGCTGGCCTCGTCTCCAGTTGTCACCCAGACTTTATTGTCCCATTGACTTTTAGATGACTGGAAAAATCTGAAGTTCTCTTGATCTTCTGCACACATTGAATGAATGAATGAAGGAGTGAAACCTTTATTGCCTTCTGGTGAATTTGTTTTACGCAAAGAAGAATATCATTAAAAGTGCCAGCAACCATATGCGACAGCTTATAATATAACATAAAACGCATCATTTTGGGAAATAAAGAGAGGACATCAAGTACAAAGGAAGGACAAAGAATGTGATTCATCTTTTAGTCGACAAGTTCTTCACCTTTATCTTCACCCTGAAGATCAAAGTGCATATTCAGACCGTAGAGGGGACAGTGGATTTGTTATGATCTAATTAATGGTGTACTGGTCTGTCATGTAAGTAATACTGCACATTGGTTTCCCAGTTATTTTATCAGGCAGTTGTACAACCCTGTCCAGTTTGTTCTTGATATATATTTTTGGGGGCTATGTTATATATTTAAGGGGCTTTTTGCCTTTAATGGATGATTTAATGGACAGCTGAAGATAGAAAGAAGGGGATGACACACACAGAGGGCCACAGGTCGGATTCGAACCCATGCAGCAAGGACTTGACCTTGGTATGTGGGTCCTATCAAGTGAGGTTTCAGGACACCGTGTTCTTGTTTTGACAATGTTCCCCACCAACGCTGAATTTCACTGGTAGACCCGAGTCAGCTTGTTTGCAGCTATGTAGACAAATGATTGACATACTGATCTATTCTTGCCTCTATCATCTTAAATACATATGAACATTTAAACTGTTTTCCAACCGTCCACTCTTTGAACAGATCAGGGGTTCTGTAGTGCCTAGCTTGTGTTTGGCCATAAATGTCTCTTTATATTAAAGGTTGCTGACTCATGGTCAACACATTCTCGTATACAAGAAGACTCACTGATAACTTTGCAGCAAACAATTTGTGTTTGAGAGAAACAAAAACTCTGTGTGCCCACCATAGACTGTGTGGTGCCTACTGGCTTATCGAAACTTCAACTCCCAGAATTCCTAGCGCGCTACACAGCCGGTACTCGGGTCAGACGACGAGCAGCCGGAACCGCTGATATCACGGACTCACGCTGCTGCTCTGTACAGCAGAACCGGACCTCAGGCGAGTTTAAGTATAAACAAACAAACAAACAAACAAACAGTGTGAGTTAGTTGTTTATTACAGTGTGGAAGCTAGCTAACGTTAGCATTAGCTTCCCTGCTAGCTGACCTGTGACTGCAACCTCACTGTAAGTTGAGTGTTTAACATCGGTTAAAATGTGTAAATAGACATTATCACTGTTGTTTATAAACCAGGTATGTGTCACTAAATGTGTTTATTGATGCACTTAACCAGCAAACTGGTTTCAAAACACATATTAGGCGTTTAGTCTTAGTACTAGTGATTTCAAGAAAAGCTAATTTGCCTTATAAATATACACATTTATGCAGCATCTGATCTGGGAACAGTAAGTGTGAATGTCATGGCAGGTGCTTGAGTCATTGTGTTCACAGTAGACCTTTTTCACAGTAGCCATTAGGACATGAAATAGTAGGGTAAACACAGGTACCAGTGCCACTTATTGTAGCAGTAGTAGCACCCTGACTTTGTTTGAGCTGGACCCATTAGTATTAAATTATAACACCTGTGTTTACCCTACTATTATGATGATGTGAAAAAAGTCTATTAGGAATATGTAAGGTCTCAGCTGCAGGGACAGACACACTGACACAGACACTGTCAAGATCATACACGAAAAAGACAAATATTCAGCATACTGGAGTCTCTTGTCATATTACAGTTTACTTTGGTGTTTAATACCCAACTAGTAAAATGTGTGTGTGTGTGTGTGTGTGTGTGTGGGGTAGTAGTTGTCACTGTTGCCATGCTAGTTGTTTGTGATGTGCTTTGGAGACGGGACAAGTGGAAGGGGCTTAACTAAATGCACGGGACATTAAAACATTCACACTCCCTTTGGCATGGGGGGCTTGACAGCTTACATGTTATGGTCACTCTGTGGTCTGTTCAAAGCCCTTTTTGGTGTTTTTATTTACCTATGGTATATGAAGTCATCATTTAGCGTATATACTGTAAAAACGAATGAAAAATGTTTATGTCAAGTTACCAGAGTGATGCTGCAAAATCTAAGTCTCATAGTTCGGCTAATAAAAACCAATAGAGTCCATTTTAATGATAAGATGATAATATGAACCCGACAAAACAAAGTAAAACATGACATTGTAATAGCTGTAACCTGCATATTAGTTTTACATTGATCACCTAATCAAATATTTACATTTATTTTTTTATTTATATTATTATTATTTATATATTTTATTTATATTACATTACATTTACGTCATTAACGGGGTGCAGTCGTCACATGTGGCTTCATGCCAAAATAAAGTAGGAGTTTTGCATGTTAACAGCTACAGAGATTTACTGGGTAAACATGTACCTGGTGACTTCTCTGTACAAGAGAAATTAATGTGAATGTTTTAATATTGAAATCAACAGCTGCAGTTAGGAAGAACTCTTCCAAACTAATTCTTTTGAGCTCGTGTCTTCAGGTCTCTTGTGTGGAGCAGGGAGGGAGATTGTCAGCCATGGAGCGTGTGATGGGAGGAGGAGTGCTTCAGCTGGTTTTAGCAAGTGTTGGTGTCTTGCTGCTTTATCGGATCCTCGTCCGCCTCAGACCAGGAGCCGCTCTCCAGGATGCTGTAGTGGTCATCACAGGAGCCAGCTCTGGATTGGGGAAAGGTCAGCCCCCTGCTCATTTCACCTTCTCTTCAGTTTACATGTAGATGCTTTCCACAAATCAGAAGTTGCACTGATATGCAGACGTTCCTTTGTAGTTACATGTTTCAGTGATATACACCATGAACAAGAAAGAAAAAGTGTGTTTTCTGTCTTGTAGAGTGTGCACGGGTCTTCCACGCTGCAGGTGCTCGGCTCGTTCTGTGTGGACGAGATGCGGGCCGCCTGCAGCAGGTGGTCCAGGAGCTTACAGCAGCTTCAACAGGCTCGCAGCGGCAGGTGTGTTTGCTGCTGATGGTCTGAGAATCTTTTCCCACCAGATTCCCTGCTCTGTGTCTCTCTATTGTGGATTATAAAATCAAATATTTGATCCACAACATTCAGATAACAAACATTATATATTCTGTATTGTGGACAGGGGGTCTTTAAACAGCACTACATAATTTGTATTGAAGTTTCCATGTTTGGTTGAGCATTCAGCAAAAGGAAGGTAATGTTTCTTATTCCAACAAATACGTTTTCCATTTTGTCCGTCTCAGTAGGAAAGTCAGGTTTTCCATTTCCTTTTTTCAGTATTTTCAGAAGCTATCTGTCATTCCTGTCATTCCTTCTGGCAGAGGCATTTGGCAGGTTCACATTTTGTCAAGCCCGCTGTATCACTAATCATGACTCCTCCTTAGACATTCAAAAAGTTTTTCTTTCTGAGAACCTGCTGCTGTTTTCCACGAACCAGAGAAAAGTTTCCTTTACTTTTAAGCTCCTAGAATCATAGAGTTATTCAAAGCTGTGTGAATACAGGTGTAGACAGATGTATTTAAACTCATAACGGCAGCAAGGTATTAAATAACTTCTGTTCTGTTCAACCACCAGACTTATACCCCCAGCACCGTTACCTTTGACCTGGCTGACACAGACACAGTGGACAGAGCTGCAGAGGAGATCCTGAAATGTTATGGACAAGTGGATGTCCTCATTAATAATGCTGGAATCAGTTACCGTGGCAACATCCTGGATACCCACCTTTCGGTTCAGCGGGATGTTATGGAAACAAATTACTTTGGACCCATTGCTCTTACTCAAGGTTAGTGAACTTTTAATGGTTTTTGGCTTTAGATATGAGCAGAATGTTGGGTTAAAAGGTCACAACCGGAGAGCCAATTATTTGGTCATTTTAAGATTTTTTGTTCCGCCCTCCACAGCTCTTCTGCCCTCCATGGTTCGCCGGCGTACTGGCCACATCGTTGTCATTAGCAGCGTCCAGGGAAAGATAGCCATTCCTTACAGATCAGCTTGTAAGTTGTCTTTGCTCATTTAATGAATTAAAGCAAATACCCAATCTGTGCAGCGATTGGAGATGAGACAGGACTCTTTGTTTGTACACACTGTGGTCAGATGCTGCCTCTAAGCACGCCACCCAGGCCTACTTCGACTGCTTACGGGCCGAGATAGATCGCTACGGGATTCCAGTGACCGTGATCAGTCCCGGGTACATCCGAACCAACCTGTCGATGAACGCTGTCACAGGAGACGGCTCCAAGTATGGAGGTGAGGCAGTGAAACAAGTGTGTGACTGTGTTTATGCCAACAATAGGAGAATTTCTATCAAATACTTTTTTATAGAAGAATTGTAGATGGAAACACTTTTTCACTGCACAACAACTGATGTGTGGAAATAAAAGCACATTTCAACAACAATGTAGTTTGACACATAAGACATTAAGAGGAGATATAAAAGAAACCTAAGGTGTTGTAAACAGACATCTATTGGCAAAAAATAATTAAAAATAGGATAAAAATAAACTAAAATGGAATATAACAGAGTGAAAAAAGTTAAGACAAGGGAACACAATCTCAGTAATTTAACAGTTTTCTGTATCAGTTGACCTACTGACTCCAAGGTATCATTCATGCAACATGTTGTTTGTTTGTTCCTACCAGTTTTGGATAAAACCACAGCAATGGGTTGGGACCCTCAGGATGTGGCTCAGGCAGTACTGAAGGCTGTCCGTCAGAGGAGCAAAGATGTTGTTTTGGCAGGACCTCTGCCCAGTCTGGCCATCTACCTCCGCACACTGTGGCCGGCACTCTTCTTCAAACTCATGTCCTCTCGCGCTCGCAAGGAGCAGAGACCTAAAGACGAGTAATGCAGCAGCAGCAGCAGCAGCAGGAGAGGACCAAGAGGCACATGGACCAGAACACGAAACTGGCTGCTTCACATTGAGGCCCCATGGAGAAGCAGGAGATGTGAATAGATGCAGCACTTCAGTAACACTTTGCCATATCAGAGTTGTTTGCAGTGTTACTAGTCTAGCATCTGATCCAAACCAAAAACCTGTGGTTTGTAACATCTGTGGTTGACCAGGTCAGCCAGGTTGTGGTGTTCAGCTATTGCAGTTAATTAAAAGACGCTGTGAGCATGTGATGCTGTTTATTTTAACTGACTCCTTGACATGGATTTGGTTTTACAAATAAAATGCTCTAACTGTTCTCTATTTTCAGGAGTATCAATATGCTTGGAACAGTAATGTGTGTCTGATATCTTTTTACCACATTAAAATTATTAAAAATGTGTTCATTGTTTCCTGTTGGACACAAGATGTCTCCTACCTAATGTAAGGTCCATTCTCAGTGTATGTGCACTGATGACACTCACAAATAATGCTAATAAGCCCTGCCCTGTAAAATCAGATGTTAAGTGAGCACAGAGAAACTTTCCACTGTCAGCAGATGAATGTGAAAACATCCTTCTAGTGTCAAACTCTACACATACATTACTCAAACATCACACTGTAGGAACAAGAAGAACAACATATTTTTAATGGAGGGAGACTTGTAATTTAGATGTTAATAATGGTCTATCCAGTCTGGGAAGTACTTTTAAATAATTTGCTCCTGCTGTCACACTTAAAAATCCCCCTTCAGAGCCTGCAGTATCACATTATGACTGAAAGGAGAACAGATAAGAGGAGGATATCATTTTATCCAGACTACAGCGCAGGAGAGACGGGTTTGTTGGTGTGAAGAGGATGCTACGAGAGAAAAACTGTAAAATGGGACCACATTTATATGTTAGGTTCTCATCTCAGACCAAAGTACAAACTGTTGTGTGTGTCCAACCATTTTTTCCAGGCCACCATTGTTGTTTAAGAAAGATACCTACTTCATGTTGTTTTGTCATTGGGGTTGGTGGTTTTGTATAGTCTCTCATTAAAACTCAGGTTTTTCATACACAAATGTAAATATCAACACCACCTTCTGGTCCGAGTCGTACCGCTGCTGTTTTACCACTTCTAAACCAAAAGCAGGAATTCATTCAGACATTACCACAGTTGTTTTGTATATTTATCCTGCTGAGATATTTATATTTATACATTTATAGAACTAATATTATGGGTCAATTGACATGGATTTTATGGAATATTAAAAGGGTCAACTCACCAATTAAGAGAAAAAAAACTAATTACATATTTAAAGAGACTGAGAATGTAGATATCGCCTTCATTCAGGAGAGACTCAGCATTTGAAACTGTGTAGGGACTGGGTGGGTTATGTTTTCTGCTTTCCCTTTTCTTCAAAGGCAGGAGGAGTTGCCTTACTTATTAATACAAAGTTTAATTTTAAATTAAATTCAGTTGAAAAAGATAGAGATGGTAGATTTCTGCTTGTAGACTGCTTAATAAATAAGAGCAGGGTAACTCTGGTGAATATATGATATTATTTAATAATCTGATTTTGAAGCATGCTACAGTTGAGGCAGGGTTTAAAATAAACCTCTAATTCCCAGTTGCGGCTACAGTAATAAACCAAGGTATGAAAGACATAGGGAAAAATGAAAGAAGGGAAACCCCTTCACCCAAAAAAAAGGAATTTTTTTTTTTTAAAAAAAAAAAAAAAAAAAAAAAAAAAAAAAAAATTTTCTTTTTTTAAAAAAAAAAAATTTTTTTTTTGGTAGCCAATCAGATCACAATGCCTTAAAACTCATCTGGATTAATAATACACCACAACAGTCTTCTCATAGGTGGAGATTTAGATATTACATGTTAAAAGACCCTGAATTTATGTCATTCATGACCATTAATATGTAAATATTTCTTGACGCCAACAAAATTCCTCCTCACATGCTGACATTTAGGAAGCCCTTAAGGCCTTTATGAGAGAGATATTCTATCATACAGCGACCAAGGATGCTCTACAATAATCTGTGCACAAGCAAAGGAAGCAGCTATGGCCAGGACAAACTATCACCGTTATGAATTTGGAAATAAAACAAGCAAGTTATTTGCTTGAAGAAAGAGACATTCGATAAATATATTCACTCAATATTAACTGAGGATGGGAGACACCAAGACAACTCAACAGCTAGGAACGCAGAATTTAATACATTTTATAAAGATCTATATGAAACATGATGATGGAAATATTGGAGCTAAAAGATTTGTAGGTGGAATACCTCTCCCCAGATTACCACCTGATGATAGAAATCAAAATGATGCCAATATATCAGAGATATAGACAATAAAGCACCCAGACGGCTTCCCGAAAGAGTATTTTATGGCCTTCTTAAGAAAAATTGAAGAAATTAACAAACAGAAATGCGACTCGTTCGGGCCCCTTAGTCTCCTAAATTACAAGATATTAACCAAACTAATTGCTCACAGACTGGAAGATAGTCTACCAAAGACAAGTCATGCTGATCAAACAGGGTTTGTTCAAAATAAGCACAAATCAGACGATGTGTGGATCAGAGAAAAAAACAGATGGACAATTATTTAAAGAGAATTACATAAAACTATTTAGATAAATAGAACAATCCAAATCTTTGGATTCACCTGGACAACAAGTGAGGTGAGATGGCTCTCAATAGAACAATATGAGATGAAGAATACTCCTTTAAATGTAATCCCATTTATAAAATGTTTATCCACACTCACAAATAACTCAGCTCAACTAATAACACTGAACACTTTTTATGCTTGGCTGGAATCTCACTCACTTTTAGATCTAAATGTCTAATTTCTCAGGAAGACTCCTTTATGGGTTTAACATCCTCTATGTATGGTATCATTATGATAAATCAATGGGAAACAGATTAAGGCTGTGCTTATGGAGAAGGACTGGAATCATCTGTTGGAGCACACACAGACTGTATTCATTTCCACAAAACATTGGCAAAGTCAATGCAACATATTACACTCGCATCAGGTTACATACAATTGACAGCAACATTTCTCTGTGTCAGAGAGGTAAAGTGACAAAAGGAGATCTTCTGCATGTGCTGTGGAACTACCTAGGTATAGAAGAATTTTGGAAACATAGTATTGCATTAACCTCAAGGATAAAAGGATCTCAAACTGAGCAGGATCCAAAACTATGGATACTGGGGGACATGAGTTCTGTTAATCTGAACTCTTACAAGAAGCATTTTATTTTACTCTCTAGCACTGCAGTGAAAAATGCTTTCTAACCAATTGGAATGGAGTGTGTGTCTTACTGCACACCTGGAAAAGATATTGTATAATGGAAGAAAGAAACCTGCAACCTTTCAGAAAATGTTCATCAGCATTCTCCCCTCTTTGAAAATATTAGACCTCAAATGTGTATCTCTTCCTGGACCTTTTCCTAAAGTTTCTATTAGGTCTTCCTCATTGATGAACATTTATGTGAACATTTTACATATAAATATGCAGAAGAGGTGTGTGTATATAGGTGAAAGTTAATAGAACCATACAAGGGAAGTGGGTGGGATTGGGTTTTGTATAATTTGATAGTTGATGCTGCACTTTTACTCCTTATATTGCAAGCTTTATCTATCTGTGTGTGTCTATATAAAAAAGATTTATTAAATATTTAGTTTTTTACTTTTTCATCTTATTTGATGTCTTCTTTCATTATAATTATAGTAACTGGTGTTTGAGGTTTTTTTTGTTTTAAACATCACACTGTGCTGATGTCCATCTGATGCCAGCAGAAACAAGTATATGCAAACAGAGAAAGTTCAGTTGGACTACGTACTACACTACTACACATACAATACATAAGAACAATGAAAAAAACAAACACAATTTATCTGTCTTTCTGGCAGATACAGCACCTGGCATGTTGTTTCTGGGTCATCTGTAACATACCATACTGCACACAGCACTGCAAATGATTCTCAGAAGGTTAATACATGTAGAGGAAGGAAGCACTGCTAATCTTTGTCCTGAAAAACATTTTAGTGGACAGTTTGATTTCCTGTTCTGCAGTTTTCAACCAGAATGTTTGTGTTGAGTTAATTGTTTTGTTTTGAGGGGTGAGAATTTATTTTCTTTAACAGGGACAGAAGGAAACCACTCTATCTCTAGAAAAGCTGACAAACCTGCTTGTAAAAGATTGCATTCAAACTGTTGTTACCACAAAGTGCACACAATGAATACAACCAGCTGTTTGGGTTTTTTTAAACTATCTTTATACACAGAATAAAAACACCTTTTACAAACTGAAAACTTTCAACAGGTTTTTCATTTTTAGATGTCATCTTCATATTAAGTTAAACAAACACCTTTTCTGAAATGTTAACAATAAATAATCCAAATAACAATTTACAATATGTTACAAAAAGCGCAGTGAATACTGGAATTGACATTTTGTACAAATAAATCCTTAAACAAAAACAAAAAAAAAAACAAACATGCCAAATTCAAAGACAAAACCCGCTGTTTATTCCTTATTAAGAATCATCTCCGTAGTTTATCTAGTGTGAGAAGATGAAGTCTTTTTGAGATTTATTTCACAAATGAATAAACATCACAAGAGCTTTTACACTGTAGAGTCAAAGCCCCTCAAGGTGCTTTAAAGGAGACCAATGTTTATAAATCCCATTAGTGGAATGACAACAAGAGCTCTCCTACAATTTACACTCAGAGATGAAGTTAAACATGTTGATCAGACAAAATGTTCACAATACTGCATATTGATGATGCTGGTTAACTGAAATTCAGAGAGAACATCTGGATCAGTCTGGACTTTACATGGTATGTGTGTATATGCTGTGAAAAACAATACATTGCAATGGTGAAACGTCATGGGGAAAGTACTTAAAAGCATTTACCTTTAACTTCAACACATACAAAGTGGGCTGACATTAAAGGGACAATCATGTTGACATTAGCCATAGTGTTTTGTCAGTATCCCGTATCAGTACTAGCCAATGGGGAATTAATGTTTTGAGCACAACCAATAAGGAAGTTTTTACTAGTGATTTAATAATGACTTAACTTAATAAAAGAAAACAACTTAAGTGGTTGAGTGTCAACTATGGCTTTAGTGTTTGATTTTATAACGTATCTCTGACTGCTTGCTTCGGAGGAGTTGAAAATGGAGTGTAACACTACTGCAAACTTTTAACATTTCAAATTTTAGCCTGCCGATGGAAATGAATATGTGGTTGGTCACATTATGGGATGAGGGTGCCTCTGTTTAGTCCTTGATTGAAAACAGCTCGGCTCGCTTCTTTGTTTGAAGTGCAACACGCAAGCAGAACAGCTGGTAAATGAGCAATGTTATTTGTCAAAGAGACAAGGTTATTTAAAACGAGACCAAAATTAAATGTTTGTGTATATAATTACAGTGTAAAAAAATAAAATAAAGGACAAACAGCAAGATAAATAAGTACGTGAAAGAAGAACGTTGCTATTTCTTCTAGACCTGTTTATGCGACAACAAAGAAACTCGAAGGCTATTGCATCAACATACATTCAAAGTGATGAAAGTTGTAGAAGCGACTGGCAATGGACACTGAACTCCAATATGACTTCAGCTGCTGATCTGTAGAGCTGCTACAAAATGCAGTCGACCAAAATAAAAAATAAAATAAAAAAAGCTGCCATTTTTCATGTGACGGCAAGGAATGACAAACTTGATTCCAAACACACATGGCAGGCTATGTTCCTGAAATGTAACCAAATAAAACCTGAACTGATCGCGAGCACATGACATGGAGGGCAGTAGCAAAACGGTTTTACTTTCTTGTACCCCGCCCTGCTGTGTTGTGCTCTACTTCAGCAACTGAGGCCACAGTAACAACTGAATAAAAACAACTATGATCTCACCACTTTCACCCCCCTTCTCACTGCCATTACTTTCAAAATCAGCCGCTGTTTGCCATCAGCTGGGATCTGAACTGCACATTTTGGTGGATTTACACATTTTGGGGGTTGATCTGCGATAGTAGAAGACAGACAGACACACACACACACACACACACACACACACACACAAAGAGCAGGAAGAGACATAAAAGATCAGTGAAAATATTTTGTTCAGATATGGCATAGTATCTTCCTGTACATGAGGTTGTGTTTTGTAAACGCATTTGTTTTTCTAAAGTGTTTTTAAAGGGCATTTCACCTTAAACAACAGTTCAGTGAAACCAACTCATTTCAAACTCGCTTTGAACAATGGTCAAGGTTCACCATTATTATTGCACTTTTACAAAAAGGGCAGGGATGGCTTTAGGGGGTTGGTCTTTCTCCATAGCCGTCCTTTCTCCGAAGTAGAATAAACAGCGTGGCGATAAGTCTAGACAGAGCGGAGAAACCTCTCCTGCGGTCACTCAGAAACCCATGTCCTCAGGTGGCCGTGGGTCCGTGGAGGCGGGTCCTCTCCTCCTCAGGGCGGTGGGATGGAGGGCTCAGTCACAGCCAGTTCTTGAGCCAGGTCATTGAAGCGGGCGATGTAGTCCACGCTGCTCTCACTCATCATACAAGCAAGCTGGGAATCCATCTGCAAGCAGGACCAATAAGCTTTCAATCTACAACAGAGATCTACAACCTATTTTTTTTCCCCCAGGGACCTCTGGAATTTAAAGGAATAGTTGGACATCTTGGGATATATGAGCTGGATAAGAAGATTCATCCAACTCTCATATCTGTCTGTAGCTACAGCCAGCAGCCACTTAGCTTAGCACACAAAATAGAAATGGGGAAAAAGCTAGTCTGGCCCTGTCCTAAAATAATAAAATCCACCTACATCCCAGCCATGAAATAGTCCAGACATTGTATTCTTTACACTTCTGTCTTTGTACAGATTAAACAAACACGATATAGCGTGTTAATTAGTGATATTTGGAGGTGCTGGTAGGCAGATTTTGTTACCTTTGGACAGATCCCAACTAGCTGTTTCTCCATTTCCAGTCTGTATGATAAACTAAGCTAACCCGCAGGAAAAAAAAAAAAATAAACAAAAATAATGGTCAATCTTCTCAGCTAACTCTTGACAGGTGAAGTTAGAACCCTTTAACAAGGAATCCCCTTAAAAAAAAAAAAAAAAAAATTGCAAATTTGTAGATGATGCCAAGAGGGCTCAACTTACTTCTGCCACATCAGGAAGGCCACGGGACTGAAAGGAATCATGGGAGTTGCAGTCCAGGAGGCTAGGACCAAGCAAAGCTGTGCCGCTAGAGGGGCCCGTGGGGGTTAGGGTGGTCCGCCTGCCCTTATCAGGAGTGACCATGCTGGCTGAAAGGAAAAGAGGCAAACAGAGAGAGAGTGAATAGAAGGGACAGCACACACGAGCAGTGGAAATAAAGCCGTCTTCATGGGACATGACATGTTTCCAGCGTTACTGAGGTGATCAGACACAGAGAGCGTTTCTGCTGTGGAGTCACTGCTGCCAGCCCCATCTTTTGAGTTTGAGTAACAAAGCCCTGTTAACATATGAATGGATTCTGTCCACAGAAACGCTGGAGAGCTTTTAATCTTAAACAGATACAGCCGTGTGTTGAGCTTTAAAAAATACATTTATATTTTTTTCCATGTCTGTGACATATTCTACAGATATAGATACTGAAACTGTAGGTTTGAAAGTGACACACTGAAAGGTGTACATGTTGCTGGTGTTGATGTTGGTGTCAATGTTGGTATAACTAAACAGACCCCTTTCACTCTGTCTGTTTTTGCTGAGAACAGTGCGAGGCTCACAGGAAAAATAGGCGAGACCTCAACTGTCTAGTGAAGTGTTGCTGAAGCCACAGCTGAGACGCTCGATCAAGGCAAGTGGTGTGACTGCTCTAACCTGTTAAATAATAAAACTTTGAAAAAAAAAAAAAAAAAGTAAGAGGTTTCGCCCCGCACTGCAGAAGCAGGCAGTGTGGACTGGGCTTTTGGATACAAGACACACGGAGGAGACAATCTGAAAAAAGAAAGCTCTGTAATGCCGTCTGCTCATTTAATAGTAATAAAAAAAGACTTACAGAGGAGGCATCCTAGTGTGGAGTCAGATGAGTCGCTGGGGTACCACTGGGGGTCATGGCTGGGCGATGGGATCCAGCCTCTGGATGGGCTGACTGAGGGAGACGAGGCCAACAGCTTGGAGCTGTCATTGTTGCTCAGCTTGGCTGGAGAGAGAGCGGCCTCCTCCCCTGCAGCGACACAGGCAAATAGCCATTAGATTACACACACAATGTTCAATAAGCCTGACGTCTGACAGGTTTAGTTGGTTGCATATTAACATATTTCTTCCACAGAATACTGGGGCTGTACCCAAGTCAGAATTTTGTCAGTCAAATTGGATTCAGCTATTTGTCTTTACTTCTTTTTATTTTTTAGTTGAGTGCCACACTAAACTCCTATAAGCAGTTCTTGTGGTGGAAATGCGGCCACATGAGTCTCATGTCTCCTGCCGACTCTATTTTAATGCTAATACACTTATGCAACATGTCATTTTTACAGAAATACACTTTAGGTTTCCAAGTAAATGTTAGCATCTAGGACACCCCCACACCCACAGACACCCACACACCCACACCCCACACACACACACACACACACACACACACACACACACACACACACACCGTAGTGGGCAGAGTTGATGGCGAGCTCGATAATGGAGTCACTGATGTGTGTTTGAGGTTCTCCGGGGGCGAGAGGCTCTTCAGGAGGACCAGGGAGAGAGATGTCCAGGAGCGAGGCCACACTGGGTGGAGAGAGGAGAGAGTCCCCACCACCGGTCACTCCAGGAGACGGTGGAGGCACACCATTCTGTGAAAACAACAAGTTGAACACTGCATTGAGGGGGTTTTGTTGCATTGGTTCTATTTCCTTTCATGCGTTTCCTACAGAGCTGGCCAAAACAAACAACCCACGAAACCTGACTCTCGCTGGACAACAGAGCACTTGAGACTCAACATTATGCAAGGGATACACTAATGACACACTAACAGTGAATAGGGCCTTCACAAGCAGTACTTTACTGTGACGAGTTCCACTTCACCCTCATTGTATAGTAGTCATTCTTCATCCCAGGGGTCGTGTTAACTGATTATTTTCATTGACTGAATAGTTTTAACAGTGACGGAAAAATGTGAAGGGCGTCCGTTGTTTTGTCAGATTAACACTCAAGGCGATATACCATAACGTAAAGTATAGTGTCAATAACCAGTAGACCCCCTGTCCTGTTGGTGGCAAGGGTGCATATTTATTAACAAGGCTGCATCGCTACATTGCCTACTTACTGCAAAATGCTGTTTTCTACCACTGTACAAAACCTGGATTACACTGTAGACATGACCAGAGTAATTCACTAGAGTGAGGACCAACACAGCAAGTGAGGAGGAGACTAGGGCTGGGCGATAAATCGATTTTATCGATTAATTCAAATTTGTAGTTAAACAAGATTTATTTTTCATTAAAATCGGTTTTCTCTTGAACTTCCACAACACCGGCGCTCCCTTTGGGCTCCCGTAGGTCAGAGTGCACTGACCCCTCCCCCCGCCTCTCCACAGATAAACACAACATGACAGCAAGCCAGGATGAGCTCCTCCCTAAAAAAGGCACAGTGTCGTCGGTTGTTTGGAACTGGTTTGGTTTTGTGGCGTCCGACAGCGGAAAAAGCAAACCAAAGGTAGCAGTACGACCAATTTATTCCAGCACCTCAAGCAGAGGCATGCAGCCGAGTGGGAGAGATGTTGCTCTCTGTGAGATATACAGGACCGCAGCCCACCAACACCCGCTAAAAAACAGTCTACAAAAAAATCAATTAAAATCGTAAATCAGATTTGGTGTGAAAAAATCGGAGATTTTATTTTTAAGCCATATCGCCCAGCCCTAGAGGAGTCATTAAACCGTGTATGTGTATGTATGTGTGTGTATGTAAGTGTGTACCGCTGACCTCTGGGACATTGTGCTGAAGGAGTTGAGAGTCTGGTTCAGCATCAACAATGGGTGTGGTGGCGAGCACGGTGTTGTCAACAGAGGGAGAACTCGGCTCCCTACGGGGACTGCCAGGGATGATACCTGCAGACTTAGCTGCCTGGTCAATGGCACCTGAAAGAGTATTAACAGTTTACAAACACAAGGGATTTGTCACATCAGCACATACCTGATTGAAGTATTAACAGTAACAGACTAGCACGTGAAGATGTACCTAGTGACATTTTTGAGAGGTCAAAACTGTAGTTAGTAAATACTAGTAAGTATGTAAGTAGTTTAGTTTACTTCCTGTTTTGTTGAGCCAATTTAATGAAGGATCCGTGTCCTAAATATTTGTTTAAAATCCAATTAAAGGAGAATTTCCAAATAATAAAAAAGCATCTATGTATACATGTTACGGTTTTATTTACAGTCACAGGAGGATGAAGAATTCAAACTCAAACTGAAAATTGTAGTAGTACAACATGCATTATACTCTATCTTAAGTTTTAATAAAACAGAAACAACTGAAGAATAGATGAATTAATAAAAGCAGTACACACTGGAGAGCTGGCTGGCTGCTGCAGAGCTGGACGCTGCAGGGGAAACTTTGGTCAGGGGGGGGCGGGAGGAAGGAGCAAGGCGAGTATGGATTGGCCGGAAGGATCCAGTTCCTGAGGGAAGAAACAGGAAGTGAGAGGGCGAAAGATTTGTAGAGTTGTTGTTGAAAAAGAGAAATTACATTTAGTTATGTACAGAGGGCACATAGCAGAGTGTATTACCAGAATTAACACATGGCTCTACTTCCAACACTTTAAACTACAGTATAGGGGAAAAAGACCCAAAAGTACCTGTGGCAGAGGAGTTGGAGAGGATGGAGAAGGAGCAGACATGCTGAGGAGTATCTCCTGTAGTTCGGGGTAGGAGCGTTCGCTGTGAACAAGACAGAAGCAACTGAACTAACAGTTTATCTTTTTAGCCCAGCATGACCTCACAACATAGCACAGAGAATGACTATAAAGACGTATAGAGTACAAGCATTCAGCCCCACAAGGCAGCATTTAACACCTTCCCAATCCAACTATGTGGACTGTGAGTTTGTGCGTATGGTTACAGACCGTTTTTTGCATCATTTCATAACCAAACGACTTTTAAATTTTTTTTGCTACACCTGTAGGAACCATGTTTCCTCCATATACTTTATCAGTATTTGTGTCAAGGAAGCATTACAAAAGGGCAGTTTATACTACTGTAGAAAGCCACTGAGATGGTGTTCATTGCGGTACCACAGGAAGGATAAGTTCAAACGCTCTTTCCTTACCTGAACTACAAGCGGTTTCCGGAGTTGTCTGTTTCGAGGTTTTCTCTGTCTAGAAAGGAAAAGATCTGACTGCATCTGGAAGAAGAGCACATCATCATTAATACATATTCCTCTGGACGATATACCAATTTTGTCTTTGCACAATTAATGTCAAAAATAATGCATTGCTCTGCCTTACACTGATAGAGTCGAGCTGCTGTCTGAAGGCCAGCTCAGCTTCCTTGTTCGGGGAAAACATTCGGTTGTGCCGTGAGCTGTTGGGAGGCAGCGTGGTGGGTACTGCAAACACGCCACTTTCTGAGTCGCTGCCCGCAGTCGACCCCAGCAGAGAGCGAGGGAGGTTGCGTCCACCTAAAGAAGGGAGGAACGAGTAAGACATGTCAATGTGAGGAGGGCAGTTAATTGAGAATAATGTCAAGCCATTGAACAACATCCAGTAATTCTTTGTGTTCATTTCTAAACACACACAAGCAATTGCAGTTGATTTGTTCTGGGATTTGGGAACGATACTGGAAAACATGGTATACAAAATAAATATTCAAACAATAACCCATGAAGGAGTTGCACAACAATATTAATTCCCATTGTTTAACAAAGACAACTACAGAACCATCAGCACCACCACACAAAGTAAATATCAGCAGAATTACAGTCAGAAACAAAGCTGATATGTGGGATATATGATTTATGTTGCATCATAAAGCATCCTAACCAGTCTTACTGATTTCAAATCAATTTAAACCAAAATATTATTTTGTTATAAAAAAAATACCTGAGGCCCCAGCGTTTGGCAGGTGCAACCGGGCCCCTCGGACAGAGGCCTGCTGCCGGCCGCAGCTGGGGCTGCGAACGCCTGCTATGGGACCCTTCCCTGGAGGCGTGAGGGCCTGGTTTTGCTCCTCCTGGTGGGTTTTAAGTGGTGATGTGGCTGTGGAGCACAGCTCCGGAGCCTGAATGAGAAGACACGTTACTGACACCATCTGCTCTACATGTACATTTCTAAATAATGCTTTCACTTTCATTAGAGTTTAAAGGTGGCACAGACGACGATTCCCAGCCCATTCCCAGTGCTAAGTATCAGCTGACATTGTACAAATTTACTTGTGTTTATCTGTGGAGGATTTGTTGTGGATGAGCAATGCAATTTTGTTAATCCAAGGGAATGTGCACCCTGCATACTGTTCACTACTGTGGCGTGTGATTAGTCTTCAACCTTAAGTAGGACTTGGTATTGTTAAAAAAAACAATGAGGTGAACTTACAGAACTTTCTGTACTCTGTGCGTAAACAGAGTGTCTCTCTTGCTCGCCTCTACTACGTGTACAGTCTGTTGTGTGTTGCGTGGGTCATTGGTATTTAAAATTGGTACCGAGTTACATTTTTTTTGATACTCTGTAGTATCGTTGTAATTCGATCGGTGCCATAGAAGTATCAAAGTTCAGCACCCAGCCCTAACCTTGTGCACATGTTTGACAATATGCACAAAGAAAATAACATTCAGAAGTTTTGTCCACGAATACAAGTTAAAATGGGCATCTGGCAACCAGCAATAACCTTATGAGAAGTAGTAAGTAGTTAATTCAAGGGTTGCAAGGGGGTGGAAATTTTCCGCTAAATTTCCAGAAAATTTACATGGACAGATAAGCTGGGGAATTTTGGAAACACTGAAATAGGCGAAAATGGCAAAATATTATTGAAATGTAAGACTTGCAATAACGGAATTACTTGAAATGTTAGTGTTTCTGTAGAAAAACATTATTATTATTTCACATTGAGCTTGTTTAGATGAGCCACAAACAATAACAACACAGCTGCTGCACTGGTGGCGTCCATGTTCTTTCAGACTCGTAATGCCCAAAGACAAATGGAACGCTATAAGTGGTACAAGCCAGGCAATTACGTCACGTTCTCGCGGCAGAGCAACTCGGGCGGGGGATTTACGAGACAAATGGATAGCACCATAAGTAGTAGCCGAAACCATTGACCTTTAGCTTAACATATGATGCTAGCTGCCTTTGATTTACTATGGCTATGGTTATATGCGCACAATACAATTAATCCAAATAGGTTAATAGCAATGGGTTATGTATTAAACCCCCCCCCCCATAAAAAGAAAAAACTCCCATATTTTAAAAAATAAATATTGGCAAGTATATAGTAGCCTGTGCTGATTACTGCGTGTGTGCATGTCATTGATGAATATAGGGAGGACATTCAACTGAAGTTGCATTAAATCAGGTTGTTTTAAGCAAGATTATGCTCCATGATGTTTCTTTTCAACTACATGTAAATTCCCTGTTATAGACTAACAGTATTATAACAAGAAATATTGAAAATATCCAGTTTATTCCCATTAATTCCCATTTATTCCCCTTAATTCCCATAGAAAGTTTCCAACTTTTAAAAATTCCCGGAATTTTGCAACCCTAGTTAATTCTTACCAAAGGTTTAGGATTGACTTCAGTGGCAACAAGCTTGAGCAGGCAGCGCAAAACGCGGTTTGTTTTGATGGGTTTGGGCGGTACCAAGGCTTGTCCATTTTCTTGGTTGTTGGAAGGAACCGCAACAGGCTGCCACTCATACTCCAGCTGCAGCTTTCCAGGCTTCCCAAACATCAGGTAGAGCTCAGCCAGGGTGACGTTGTCTGCGTCGCGGGCACTCCAGCCCTCCTCTCTGATCTGCTCAACAGCCCGTTCTTTGGCTGCAGGTGCAGAGCCTTGCGACATCCCCTCCTCTGAGACAGCCACTGTAGGTTTGGCTGGAGGAGTCTGGTTTGCTTCTGGGGAGGAGGTGCTGCTGTTCTGCTCCTCTTTGCATTGCTCCGATGAGCTTTCTGTACCACTACACAACTTCTCCACGCCTTTGGTCACTGCTAAACCACCACTAGCCTCAGCACCAGTACAGGTCTTGTTCCCCTCAGAAGGTCCCGTCCCAGTTCCCTCTTCCTTATGAGCCACAGTCTGTTGAGGGGAAGCGGGGACATTAACAGACGGCGGTCTCTTCTCCTCTACCTTTGAACTGTCTTGTGAAGGCTCAGGGTTAAGGGGCTCAGTTCGACGACTATCACTCAATACAGTCACTGTAGCACCGCCAGCAGCAGCGGTGCCTCCCCTTCCAGATTTGGTGCCAGTCCGAAGTGGTGGAGCTGTGTGGATACCCAGAATCTGGGCAGCTGGCAATTCCTTGGCGTTAGGCCGGTTCTTTCCGCTCTCTAGCCAGTGTACAGTGCAGGAGGCCTTGGAGTGAACCACACGTGCCACACCGGGCAGTGTGGTCAAGGTGCTGCTCTCAGCTGGGAAAAGAAATAGCTCCTCCTGCTGGGATTTGCTGGGTGACTGGCTGCCCTCCAGAGCCTCTCTCTCCATGAGACTCTTAAGCTGAAGCATCAATGTTAAGGACTCCCCCAAAGCTTAAGTGCAACACCACTGCTCTAATTCCCATACTAAATATATGTGAATATAAACAAACATATTTTGTTATTAGCAGCTGGTTGTATCAAAAAGGCACTGCATGAAAAGACTGAAAACAACTTATTTTTAATACTATTTTGTGTTTATCATCTAATCCCATCATTAACTGGATTGTTTATAAAAATATTTTTTAAAGTTTACGAGTTTGCATCGGCTTTCATGCTTCATGCAATCATTGTTCTATTTATTTATTTTTTATGTTTTTAAGAGTTTTCATTGACATTCACCATTTTTCTAAACTGAAATGCAATCAATACAGCATGTGAGCTATTAAAGGATACAATCCGCTGGTCATGGTACGTCCACTTCTGTTTCAGGTACTCAATGAGGCTGGAGACTTTCCTGTGGAGCTCCACCACCATCCTGGGTTGAAAAAGAAACAAGAAGAGATTGATATACAGCTGCTTGCAACAGCGTTATGAAGTGGCAATAAAAAAGTGGACTAAATGTTTGTGCAGTTAAGATATTGCTGCAAACTTATTTGCATGTGATGCTGAAGTACATGCAGATATCTGTTTTAAAGCCAAACCTGAGGCGAGGGTTGTGGGCTAGACTCTGAACACGGGCCCAGGAGTGGTTACTGCGGGGTTGGAGCTCCACTGCCACCTTCAAGGGTAGACGCACCGGCTTCTGGTCCTCCTCGTCACTCACTCCTGCAGGGACATGATGACACAGTGAGAAACACCAACAAAGCTAATTTAGGAGAAAAGGTCAGGTGTTTTTGAGGACAAAGAGCAGGTGTCCAGTCAGAGGGATTTTGTGCCGCTATGCAGTCAAACATTTTAAACTTTATTGAACAAGCGCAATTGCTGAAGAGTTGAACAAGCGCAATTGCTGAAGAGTTGAACATGCTCTCTTGTAAATGTGCAGGCTTAATGGATCATCAGGCAACAACAAGACAATAACCAAACTCAGTGGTACTGAAGAGGAAACAGAGCAAACCAGCGCTTCTAATTTTCCATCCTTGTTTAAAGCAAATGTTTTCTTTAAGTTAGTTGAGTGGCTGATATTGAACAGAGGGGTAGATGGCAGTCGGTCGGATCAGTCATCTCCATCATCTCCCTCATGGTCCTCCTCCTCACTTTGTGCCTACGGAGTTACCATGGAAACGCCACTAGCCCACACGCTGCCATTGTTATTGCCAAAACCACTCCCCCACAAATCCTGTGCCTCACCGTCACCATGGTTTATATTTTCAGCACTGATGTTTGTTTACTTTACTATGTACAGTATGTGTGAGGTGTCTGTGCGTACACATGCTCACCATCTGGGTCACAAAGTTTCTTCAGTGCACGGCACATGGGTGCTTTGATTCGTAGGTTCCTCCCTTTGGAGCGTACAGTGGTGGCCCTGGTCAAACACACAGAACAGCAGTGAAATCTTTTTGTTCTTTAAGGCCAACCTAAGTATGCTAACAAGTCACATAAACAGACTACAGAGCAGCCTGAACAATTAGACATGACACAAACTTTTCTCAACACAGTAGCCAGGAAAAAGCTGTGTGTGAGTGGTCTCTGCATTTTTTACCACCGACTTACCCTTGTTGGATGAGTTCATTGAGCTTTGCCACGTTCTTATCATCCATTACTGTCAAAGACAAAACACAAAGCCAGAGAGGCGTTTACGACATGGTCCCTGAAGAGCAGCTGTCCCCCATGACCGGGAGCATGCGGTGTGTTTTAATCACATCCCCGGTGTCCCAGACTAACAGCAGAAAAACACTTGCACACAAAACAACTTTAAAAAGACATGCATTCAAACACGGTCTTAACTTACATCCTCCAACTTTTTTGCGGAGCTCGGCGTAGCAGATCAGACCGTAGAGTTCTTGAGAGGATTTCTTCAGCACTCTGGAGTACACTGAGAAGGAAAGGTGGCACAAGTCACAACGTTGCTATATCCAGCATGGCAGAAGGCATGTGTATGCAACATAGAGATAACACTAACACGACAGTGACAGTGGGGGCTCCCAGGAGTGGAAAGGGGCTCAGGCTTATCTTGAGGGGTTTTTTAACATATGTTTTGGGACAAAGTCTCCCTGCCTAACGAAATGCTGAAGAAACATCAGTGTGGGAGTTGATTGCGGTCTTTTATTTTATTCTTTCTACCACAGCAGTGACCCTTTCAACCACTGGACACATACAGGTGCCATGTTAACTTATCTGACAGCTCTAATGGATATTAGAGAGATGGTAGATAAGATGGTAAAAGTTGCACGTTAATATTATATATTTTTTTAAAGTGGGGCTCTAACTGTGACATAAATACTGTTCTACCTTCCAACTTTCACTGAGACTCAGAACGGTGACACAAACAAAAGGAAGCTCACCATTAGCAAAGTCAATGTGTTTGGAGATCTTGTGCCAGGTCCGGTAGTAAAAGTGGCGAACCTGCTCCTTGTTCTTCACCATGTTGGCTGGCTTGCCTCTTTTCTTGTACTTCATTGCAATGTTGTTCTGGATAGCCTCAAAATCCTTCCCATGCTAGAGAGACCAGAGTAGTAGAGATAAGCAGAAGATGTCAAAAGATACATATGTGGAGACATGTTAACTAAGTGATACATAACATAAACAACCAACACTTTGTGGCAGGTAGTGCCCATTGACAATCTATTTGGTTCTACCCTTTACCTCGTATAGCCCCTCAAAAAAGCTGTTTTTGTCCTCTGCGCTCCAGGACTCCCACTGCCGACGGGCCCTCTTCTGGTTACCGGCTTGCTCCTCCTTCTCAGCAGACCCTTGGCCCTTGGAGGCCTTGGACACTCCCCCTGTGGAGCCCGCCACAGGCCCCGACTGTCCGACTGTCCCCTGGGAGGACGAGCCATTCTCTGCTCCTGTGTTAAACAAATGCCCACAAATCCATCAGTCTTGAAACATTGAGAGAAAAAAACAGATGTCAAACATCAGAGTAAAAAAATGCAAGGATTGAGCCAAATGTTTTGGTTGACCGCCCTAGTTTTTTTCTATAGCGGGGTAGTAGTTCTAAGGTGCGTGGTTTGGGAGATGATAAAATTCATGCACACAAAGCCACCCACTGCCATTACACTGCAAAACCTGCAAAGCTTCCCCCTCTGTGGTTCAGCTCTGGCAAGGAGGCAGGAAAAGCGATCAGTCCCTACGGCCAGGTCCACAGTACATGGGTCCAAAACCAACCCGTGGTGGGCTCCAATGGCCAAGTTTGCCCCAGTACAGAGCAGCATGCCAGCAGGCATTAATACAAGCACAGAGGTGGTTGCAGCATTGCTCTATGTTAAGACAACTGATTTTCAGCCAAAATGGTTATTAATTTACAAATGCAAATCTATGTGGATATAGGCACTAACCTAGAAATGTCTCTTTCAAAACAGATGTGTACCAAATATAGCATCATATCAAAATAAGTGGGGCTTTACTGGTCAACTGGTTGACACTTTGGCAGTCTAAATATAAATTTGATGAAACAACACAGTCATACCTGTCAGAGCACACTAATTCACCAATATACTGTAAATGTTTACTTCTGTACGATCTGTGTCCAAATCATAAGGCCTTCTTAAGAAAGAAAAAACAGACACTGCAGAGCAGCATAATTATGCTCACTCACACTCCGTAATTATTCCTCACTAAATATGTGAAAACTAAATCCTTGAGTAAGGAAGATACAGGTTTCTGGTTTAAGTGTAGCACTTCAATGACAGGCTCCAAATGAGCAGAGGCCACCTCAGTAGCTGTAAGTTTCAAACATACTAGATAATAATTCTCCTGTCACTTCTTTCTTTGCCCCTTTTTAGATTGGTGGTATGGAGATGCTTCATCTACCTGGACACATTGAATCAAGCCACTTGTCTATAAGTGTTTATCAATATCTGGGTTCAGTGATCATTCTGTGTGTTTAAAAATCATGAAAGGCTGAGCGCCTCAAGTTATCTTTAGCTTTAGTTCTTTTGCTCAAACACTCAATGCTACTATTTCAAGTCACCAGTGAAAGTGTTAGTGGTGATATGTGTGGGTTAATCTTACATAACTGCATTTTGTTTTTCTGAAACAACAAAATTTAATTCACAAATTTGGTTGGCTCAGTGACTAATTATATTATTAGCTGAAGGCAATAAGATGATCTTGCTATTATTTTTTTTCTAATCCCTATATAAATAAATAAAAAGAAGTCTACTCTCAACTCTCTACAATAATGCCCCTTCTTTCTTATCACACTTCTCAGTCTCATTCAGAAACACTGCAGCATTAAACCTGAGATTGATTTCTCCTCCACTCATTTGATAAAGACAGTCACAACAGCCCCTTGTTTATACAGCCATGGTGGCCAGTTTCCAAGACATTGTAACTGAAAATAGTCATATGACATCCTAATTGAAATTGAAGTTCTGGCCTGTGCCTCTCCTCCTCTTCACAAAGAGGGTTCACAGGATGGTGCTGTAACTTGGGTTGGAGCAGCCAGCAACCGACCCAGAGTACAACCAGTGGCCCGATGGGAGCACACAGCAACAAAAAGAGTCTCAGTCCAGTTGAGCCATCACTGACACAGAAACTGTAAACACAGCTTACAACTGAGAGCAGACCCCCAACCCATCCACTGCTAGTCCCACCTATACCACACACACACACACACACTTTTATCTGAGCCGGTCACCTACGGTACCTTTCGATTTTGCCCCGCCATGACCATTGATGGTCGAGCCGATTGAATCCTTCCGGATCCGTTTGCTCGGAGGTCTAACGCTGGATCGGAGAAAATGATGCTGGTCGTGACACGGAGGGGCGGGCTCCGCGGAGGTCTGGGGATGCTGGGCTGAGCCTAGTCCGGTTCGGTTCGGCGGAGAGGCGGGGAGGACCGGGGCTGAACCGGGGCTGAGACCCGTGGCTGATGGATTAAGAATTTCCACTCCGTCGTCTCCCTTTGTACTGCGCTCCTCGCTCGCCTGCTCTCCGCTCTCCTCCTCGTCGCAACCTTCGGGCTTTCTGGACGGATTCCTCCTCCCATCGACACCGATCCCCTCCCTGGAGCCCGGTGTCATGCTGCCAGAACACATTCAGGGAAAAATTGTCACATTAGGAGCAAAGCGGTGTGCAAAATTAACTTCTAAAGACGACGATCACTGTCTCTCAACATGGCCGCCGCTGTTTGTTTCAAATCCCCTCTCCAGTCCCGACAAAACAACACCAAATATATGCATTAAACGCCTTCAGATAAATTATATTCAACAACCAAAACAGTTTAGTAACTGACGGCGGCGTTTTACCGAGTGTCTTTCGGCTCAAATCGCCGATATTTAAGGTTGAATTTCAACTAAATTCAAATGCGAGCGCTTTTCAGTTTAGCGCCCTGCAGAAACGACAACGAAACCCCTGAGCGGATTCGACCTCTAAATAAAGTGTTTATTTTAAACATTATTTTACCCATTGTCGTGCTCTTCGGTAGTAGGCGACGTCTTCTTTCTCTTCACCATGAGTCCGACCGGTTAGATTGGCAAATACTGATCAAACTGAGCATAATAAAACCTAGAGCGATCTCTCCGCTTTCTGCCCTCTCCTTGCTCTTGCTTCGACTGAGCTGAACTCTCTGCGCAGTTCAACTGTTTTCTATCGGCAACAACATTACTCAATGCTTCTTTGCAACGAGAAATAAAACTGTAAAACCACCGACAAGTGAGGGGATATTTAGTGCATGCACCGAAGAGGAATGTCCCCTAGCCCGTGTCAGTCGGGCTCATGTGAATTGATAAGTATAGATAGTTTTATTAACCTGTGTGCAAGTGGACTTTGCTTGTCACTACGTCACCGTCGCCTGCAGAAACGATGTGTGTAAAACTGTGACTTTCATATACATCGTGCAACTTGAAGGATTTGTGACAATACTGCATTTGCTCACATTTCTACAGCCTCGTACTAATTATTCTTCATTCGTCAACATCAGGAGCAGGCTTTGTGTGCCCGGTGCACATCAACACCTTGTGTATTTCCATTCGTGTGTGCACATCACTTCATTTATAATACAATGTGTCTGCTCCTTTAGTTATCCACTAACTGTGTATTTGTGAATAATCACAAGGATGGCAGCGCAGAGGGATGACAGCAAGGGAGAGCTAAACAAAAGTAAGATTAATTGGACATGAGCAGCTTTAGACTGAAAAGGACGAGGACTGACCCCCCCCCTCCCTCCTTTCTACATTCCGACACAACCTTTGTATTCCTGGTTTGTTTCATATAAACAATAACTTTCACACAAATTCCACCTGCCACAAAATGTCCCTCATCCAACAACAGTGAGAGCCAGACAGTTTGTTAATAAAGTACTTTAGCTCCGGATTCTTACAACTTCAAGTGATTGTGATGTTAATAGATGGATGCAACTATGATTTAACTTGTACACTGCGTCAAAATATCGTTTCAGTGTAGCACCAGATTAATGTAAAATGTTACAGCAGCACACTGGGATCCATGCCACAGAGTTACAACACCTATACTCCCCTGCAATGTAACAGACAGTGATTACAGTAGTCTAACCACGGACCTGGTGTTCTCCTGGAAGGGGTTGACGTTACTGTAAAAGTGCAATGTAATAATAGTTGAAGTTGTTTACACTGTCAGTTGTCGTTTACTTTGTTGTAGCACGCTGCGTTACGCGCCTACAAGAGTTGTCTCCATACATAACGTGGTAAACCTAGCATGGCTGCTGGTGTTGGCTAGCTAACGTTAAGGCTACAGCAGTCAAACCAGCCACAACGTTACAAACATGATATGTTATATTATTATTATATAATGATTGTGTCATGTAGGAGCTCAAAGAGTCTGCCGGGAGGAGAACATGATCAAAGTTGAAGAATTACCTGAAGGTGAAGCCTGTTGGTGGTATTCCCAATCGAGACACAGGCTAGCATCGCTAGCTGACGGCAGCCGTCCAACTTGTGACGATGACAGTTCCTGCAGTTCGATTGTCCACGCGCGTAGACACGCCCACTACAACTCGAAAACAAACCATGTGATTGGTCAGAAATACACGAGGACGACGGTTAAAATGTGATTGACAGGTGGCTTAGCCAATTGTTAGTGAGAGACGCCTTGTGACGGACCAATTGACGTTGTCTTCCTGCCACGCCGTGTAACTTTCCCGATATGTATTTTCAAAGGTTGCGACCCAGCGACCCTTTAATAATTTAACATTTTTGCTCATTAAATAAGTGGTTTTTAAACGAGATTAGATTACCGCAATAGAGGTTTTTGGCGCTTTTAAAATAAGTTCCGCCCAGAAAGCGATTGACATTGTGAAGCACAAATGAATAGGCGGAATTCAGAGGCTGCACTTGAATTTTCACCCTGGCGTACGCCGAAAATCACCTGTCTATGTGGAGTCAGAGTGTGATATTTACAACAGGCAACACACGGCTGACTAAAAGCATGGTCGCAAAGCGCCAGCGAGGACAACATGTGTCACAAAGGGAGTTTTGATTCAATAGCATGTGCGTTTTATTTTATTTGCTATCAGACTCGGACTCAGCCCACGTTGCCTGTCCCGGCCAGGCGCTCCGGTAAAGAAGAACAAGCGTCACATATAAAGACTGGTGCACCGGTTCGGTTGTTAAACTCCCTTTGACAAATCGGCAGGGCGGAGTTTTCTGCCTATTTCTTGATAAGACATGTATAAAGGATTGCATGTATTTAATAAATATACAAATCAGACGCAATAAAAAAGACAGTGGCTTCAGTTTAGTCTCAAAAGACAAAAGAAGGCAGTGGATTACTAGTCACATTTTAGCTGACGGGATACCGGGTGCAATGAAACGAGCGCCCCGCAGCACTCAGCGGGTTGGCAGCGGACCAATCATATCCCTCTGCGTCACAGTTGGGTGGACTGAAATTCCTCACTCCGGAGTTTGGTTGGGCACGCGCAGACAAGGGAACTTGCTAGTCGTCCAGTTGGCAAACTGACGAAGTTGTCTTTGGAAACTTGAAGACTCAAAATAAAACCACTATGACTTCGACGAACATGTTTCAAGGGTTGGATACTGGTACAAAACCAAGTTCAAGGTGAACAATGTATAACGTTAGTCGCGTTGCTGGGTGATATGTGACAGGAATGGCCTACGATGTTTTTATTTGGAGTGCAGTGAGCGGTTGGTCGGCTCGTATCTCAACGTACGTTAACTAACGTTAGGTTATAACGTTGTACGACAGCAGCTCTTACTCTCACTTCTCTGCGAATACCTTCAGCGGTAACAACGCTAGCGTTTAGCGCTGTCACGAATACATTGTGGTCGCTCATCTTGATAGCTAGCTTGGTTTGAGTTGTCTTCGCATTAGCCACCTCAAGAGTGAAGAATTAGCCTATAAGCTACCCGACCAGGCGTTGTCTGCTGCGCCTGCGGAAGTGTGAAAGCCACTTCAGGCTGCTGCTCTTTGTACTCGCCACCGATGGCGTTGTGGCCACATTGTTCTAGTCTAAGGAGGGTTTCCTCATCGAAAGCCTCAGTTCTTGGGTCGGCCCCGCTGAAATAGCCCATAGTCACGCATGTTGTTGCACTTAATAACATGAGAAATGATAGCGGGAAGACTTTTCAGACTTTGGTCAGACCTCCCGGTATATAATCGAATAACCTGTTATTTGATCAAGTAGCCTGTTATTTGGCTGCGTTGGTTTAAGCTGTTTACTGTAATATATTTATAGCCAGGCTAGCCTCTGTTTTCTACTGGTCCTCTTTGTGTGCAAGAAACATGACATCATGTTTCTAACAGCAATCAGTAAACACGAACCTCCATGACTCAAAGACATTGTATGCACTCTTTAATGTGGGAGGGATTCACAACCTCTGAGAAGGGTTACCTTCAATAAGCTTGCTCTGTATATTAGTGAGATGAATTCCAATCTAACCAGTAAACATACCTCGGTCTCAGTATTTGCAAGGTCACACTTGCACAAGATCTAAATAAGACTTGGACGGATAAATAGGATAGCACCCAAGGAAGGTGTCACTATATTCTCTCGTCTTTTGCAGGGTGTTGCAGCCTCCTGGAGGTGGCTCCAGTAACCTGTTTGGTGGCTTCGAAGAAGATTCTGCACCATCAAGAAGACCTAATAAGATGGCCTCTAAAGTTTTTGCTCCAGCAGAGCCGCCCCAGAGTGTACCCAGGCGCTCCAATCCTCCAGGTCAGACCAGCTTGTCAGGGATAATGGATGTGTGTCTATCAATGTCCAGGGTGTGAAAACTGTTACTATAATGTGATGATTCCAGTATAAACACTGTCCTCTGTGCCTGAATGTAATCCGCCTCCAAATTTTGTGGTGTGTGTGCCATGTGCAGGTATGTTTCCACTCTACTGCTAAAAAATAGTCTTGAGTTTCCAGAAGAGCACTGTTTGGTCACCCTGACTGCCTTATCTGCTGTTTCTCACTGTGGCATTAGCATCCCTGAAATGATCAGTGAATTGCTGCCACTGTAGTACAGTATATGACACTATAATTTGCTTATGCACACGGTGTGATGCTGAAGGGAGAGTGAGTTGCCGTCATGACACGGCCGCAAAACGTAACCAACATCTTGGTAATATTTTATGTAGGTGGGAAGAGCAGTGGAATATTTGGAGAGCCTGAACCTCCAGCTCAATCACAGAGACCCATCCCTCCAGGTGGGCAAAGCAGCAACATATTCGGGGTTGCAGAAAGCTGCAAACCTGCCCAAAGCTCAAGCAGGGGTCACCCAAATAAGCCAAAGGTAGGCCGTGCCCCTACATTTTATACTCATTTTCACTATACTTGTGTTTTTGTTTATTCTCTTTCACCCCTGACTCTTAAACTCGTAAACATACAGGAATAGTTCATCCAAAATTTTATCTGATCCTCATTTTATCCTGTAATACTTGAAAAGCACAGCATCTGTGTCACATACCCCAGTATATCTGTCTGTCTTCTCCATGGGTCAATAGTGTTTGTGCAACCAGGCCACTGTTCGCTAAGACTGCTGAGTCTTTTGCAACAATCTCAGCTGTGACACAAATGAATTGCAAGCAGTCACTAATGAGCAGAAATCTGCTAAAACACGTTGAGGTTGTTAGTGGCTGTGTTTGTATTTCATCAATACATAGAAAGACAGAATTCACTGACTAGATTAGGGCAAGCCTTAATTTTTCAGTTATCCTGAATTTATTCTGCTGTTGTGAAGTGGCCCCCTGGAAAACATAGTAAAGGCATGTAAACATGAGGTGTTTCTCATACCTGGGAAGGTGGAATGTCTCAGCTACTCATGACTTACACAAACGTTACTGTGATTGGGTCCCTTTGGAAAGCCCTTATTTGCTCGCAGTTTAGGGAAACTTACCAACATCAACAGTATTTATGATAACTTGTTTATGACAGAAGTTCAAACTGATGATGTGGTGTTATCCTAGACTGATTGAATAGCCTGTCAGCATGACCTGAAAAAAGTTGCCATCCTGTGTTCAAGGAAATAATGCAAATAAACTTTACTTGCTTACAAAAACTGTGAAATCTATGCCATAAAATAATTAATTCTGTTAAAAAAATTCAATCTGTGTCACAAGGAGATTTTGCAGCTGCAAACGCAGTCAAACTACTCAGTGTGGGTAATGGTCACTCACTAGCTATGACTCATTTGATCCTTTTACACAGAGCACATGTGATAGAATTGTAT